TCAGCTTTTTCCACTGACCCAGGTGCCCTTTTTCAGGCTGACACCCCTTCAGATTGAGTTATACAAGAGATTTCTGAGACAGGCCAAACCGGCAGAAGAGCTGCATGAGGGCAAGATGAGTGTTTCCTCTCTTTCTTCCATCACCTCACTAAAGAAGCTTTGTAATCGTGAGTTGGATCAATGTCCTGGTATCCTCCATGAGAGTGATCAAAGGAGGGTGGGTTCCTGTGGGTAGTCCAGTGACCTTTACTGAAACTTGTCTAGAGACCCATGCTCAAGGCAAAACCCTGTAAACTAGACCCTATACTTTGCAAAGTTTATTGTTGTCCTATGCCCAGTTCATGCTTGGTACTTAGGATGCACAGGACTGTGTGTGTGAACTGCTGCATACATACATGCTCATATAAAATGTTAGGCAGGAGGAAAAAGAACAAATATTGTCTCTTGTAATAACTCTTCTTGTTGGGAGAACACACTAGTGAGTAAGATTATCCATCCACGCTCACAGATGGCACTGACTGTACCCTTTTAGAACTCGGGAGGGTGAAAACCAAGTGAATGGTGTTGAGGAAGGGTTTCTGGGCTAGGCATCTAGATGGTATTCTAGTGAGCACTTAAGTGGAAACTTCAGAAAGCAGAGTAGCCGGCATTTTGGTGTATTTTTTGTTTGTTGTTTTCAGATCCATCTCTAATCTATGAAAAATGTGTGGCAGAGGAGGATGGCTTTGAGGGTGCATTGGACATCTTCCCTCCTGGTTATAGCTCTAAGGCTGTAGAGCCACAGCTGTCAGGTGAGCCCTACCCACCAGTATATGGGCTCCTCTAGGAGAAGCAATGGGAAGAGGATATGAAATTATCTCTTTATATTGGAGCTATCTTATATCAAGGCAGGATATCAAAAGTAATAATTCTGGGCCATTGTGATGGCCAACTGGGGACTGATGGTTGCTGCTCTTCGCAGGTAAGATGCTGGTGCTTGATTATATTCTGGCAGTGACCCGAAGCTGCAGCAGTGACAAAGTAGTGCTGGTGTCCAATTACACTCAGACGTTGGATCTCTTTGAGAAGCTCTGCCGAGCCCGAAGGTAGGGAAGAGCCTAACTAGGTCAGCAAAGGGCTATGCCTCCCCCACTAACCCTGTAAGAAGGTTAGGTTTTCTTATTATTGGATGTTTGCCAAGATGTAGCTACATGAAGGACTTCTCTGAAGAGGTCTCTTTCCTTATTGCTGTGATGTCCCTAGTTTGTGTCTTCATGCAGAATATCTCCTGGTCTTTGAAGTACTCTCACAGAACAGAGTCCTGGCCCCTAGCTCCTTGCCCTTCCCTTTGGGAGGGCTCAGACTACACATGAGCAGCCTCGAGCTTGGTTAGTTTCTTCAGTAGCCATGGCTACTAGGGGCCTTTTCTTCTTGGGTCTTGATCTTTGGATCCCCCTTCAGGTACTTGTATGTCCGCCTGGATGGCACGATGTCCATTAAGAAGCGAGCCAAGGTTGTGGAGCGTTTCAATAGTCCATCGGTAAATGTATAGCACCTGTCCTCACATCCCCAATATAGTCACATCAGAATTAAGGGTTGAAGAAGCTGTAAGGGGACACTGCTTCAATTTTTTTTTTTTTCCAGGTATGGTAAGGTTAGGCTGGTTGGTGATGGTTGGGTTGGAAACTGACTCAGTTGATCTGAATATGAACATAGTAGGGTGAGAGAAGAGCTGGCTGGGCTGAGCAAGATACCAGTTTAAGCTATAAAAAGGTTCTTTTTCTCCTGATTCCTTTCTTTACAGAGCCCCGATTTTGTCTTTATGCTGAGCAGCAAAGCTGGAGGCTGTGGCCTTAATCTCATTGGGGCTAACCGGCTGGTCATGTTTGACCCTGACTGGAACCCTGCCAATGATGAACAAGCCATGGCCCGGGTCTGGCGTGATGGTCAAAAGAAGACCTGTTACATTTACCGCCTGCTGTCTGTGAGGATGGTGATAGTGGTCAGAGTAGGGGGATGGGTAGTGGAACAAGACCTTCAGGACTACCTTGAATTGTTTCTCAGTGTCTTTTTGGCCCTTTTTCCTCTATCAGTGGCCACGCTGTGGGCCTATCCTTGAGTTCTTTATTCTTCCATTTTCCCTCCCTTCCTCTCTACCCCATTCCTCCAAATATTCCATGCTATGCTATCTGGCTGGATGCTTATTCAGTTCATCCTTTTCATGGGCATCTACTTTCTTTCATATCCAATTTCTGCTTTGTCACTTGCCTTATAATCTTTTTAACTCCCATGTCTTATGGGCTAAGAAGTGGTAATGGCACTCTAAGTTACCACCTTGAGACCATCCATCCTTTTTTGTAATACCTATTGTCTGACTTGACTGCCTTCTTTTCTTCCTTGCCTCAGTCATCTAATCTCTGCTGTGTTCCTGATGATTTTTGGGTACTAACTGTCTTCATTTGTTGCCCAACTCTACCAATCACCCTGACTGACTTTGAGGACCATGCATTTTTTTAGCACTCTGGTCTTTCATGTTTCCTTGACCTTGTCTATTTCATCCTAACACACTATGGAACTTGTTAGTCCTCCAATTATTAATTAATTTATTTATTTTGGGCAGTACTGGGGTTCGAACTCAGGATCTCACACTTTCTAGGCAGGCACTCGACCACTTGACCCACTCCACTAGGCCCCCAAGGTTTCTCTATTTATTTATTTAATTTTTGGTACTGGGATTTGAACTCAGGGCTTCCTGCTTGTTAGGCAGGTGCTCTACCACTTGAGCCACTCTGCCGGCCCCCATATTTTAATTTAACTGTCATCCTACCCCTACATCTTGTCCTTCCAGTTTTCTCAAAGCTACTACATCTACTTTAACCTAATGTCCCTAGAACTTCTGTGTTCCCCCCTTCTCAGTCTGATGTGGCTTCGCTTCTTATCCAGCCTGATCTTCACTATGCATTCTTTCAGCTACTCTGTTCTTAGTATCTATTCTACTTACATCATTTCAGCTGTTCTCAGCTTCTTTGATTTTTCTTCTTATGTATCTGCCCTGGAAACTCTACTCTGATTCTAACTCTGATTTTTAACCCAGATCTCTTACCTAAGCTCTAGACCTATATATTTTCATTACTTAATCTACATTTCCACTTGAATTTCTTTTCTTTCTTCTAATTTATTTATTTATTTGCAGTGTTGGATTGAACCTAAGGCCTTGTGCATGCTAAGCAAGTACTGTACCACTGAGCTATACTTTAGCCCTCTTCTTCTAAGCACTTTATGGCTAAACTTACTTGCCTTCTGAATGCTATCATTTAATAACTCCATTATCCATTCAACCCAAGCCTGGAAATCATCCCACTAGACTATTCTCTATCTCCTAACCACCATATTCCTACCAGTTATCATTGATTTTACCTTCCTGAAATTTCTTTAACCCTTCTCTTCATCCCCTACTAAGGTTATAGTCATCTGTTGGTTGGATATTGTGAGTAGTAATTCTTTACCTTTTATCTTCTCCTAACCCATTCTTCACCCACTGCTTCCAGAATAAGCTTTCTAAAAATTTCATATTTGCTTCTCTTTACTTCCAAGACAAGGCTAATCACCTTCACCCTGACATTCAAAGTTCTCCAATAAGGCATAGCCTGTCATTCTCAGTTCTAGTTCTTATTACGCTGCACTATACTCTAGTTAGTCTGAACACACACACACACACACACTCTCTCTCTCTCTCTCTCTCTCTCTCTCACTCACTCACTCACTCACTCACTCACTCCCCCGCCCTTTTTTTTTGAGGGGGTTGGAGGGAGATGGTATCTTACTATGTTATTCTGGCTGGCCTCATAAGCTCAAGCAAACTTCAATCAATTCAGCCTCCTAGATAACAGAAGTGTTCATAGTCTTCCAATAGCTCAGGCTTATTTTATTCCTATGCTGGGAATGCTTTCTCTTTGCTTTTAAGATTGAGTTTAAGGATAATATACTTTTAAGCTTTTCAACACTATTCTACTTTACCATTCCTTTACCATCTCCTGAGAAACCTATACTGGTTTCTGTCATTGTACCATTTTGTTTATATGTTTTTGTCTTCCACTAGTCTGTGACCTCAAGAATAGGGATCATACTTGATTTTTTTCTTGCATCCTAATGCTAGCATAGGGCCTGGCATAGAATAGATACTCAAATAATGATTATTGAATGAACGAGAGATGGACTTGGTATGGAAGTCCATACCAAGATGCTGCAGACAACCTCATTTCACCCTAAGGGATTTTAGCTAGGCCCTGATACTCTTCGTTGTCAGCAGACATGCAGAAGCCATGTTTCTAGACGATAGACTGGGAAAATAGGCTTTTTTTTGAACAGATATTACTCCAGGTTTCATACTTTTCATTCATCTCTACTTGTTTATAAAGAAGTAGCTGTATTTTTGACCCCTGGGTTTCCCTGCTCCCACTTTATGAGAATGGCTGAGTCTTACATTTCTTCACCCTCATACCCCCAAGGCAGGAACAATTGAGGAAAAGATCTTTCAGCGGCAGAGCCACAAGAAGGCGCTGAGCAGCTGTGTGGTGGATGAAGAGCAGGATGTTGAGCGGCATTTCTCTTTGGGCGAGTTGAAGGAGCTATTTACCTTGGATGAGACCAGCCTCAGTGACACACATGATAGGTGGGTGGAGTGCCCTTTATCTCTGAGCTACCTACACAACATAGAAATGGGACTGGTCGTAACCACAGCTCTGTCCTCTGACCCCAGGCTGCACTGCCGTCGTTGTGTCAACAGCCGCCAGGTCTGGCCACCTCCTGATGGTTCTGACTGCACTTCAGACCTGGCTCAGTGGAACCATAGTACTGATAAACGGGGGCTCCAGGATGAGGTACTCCAGGCTGCCTGGGATGCTGCCTCCACTGCCATCACCTTCGTCTTCCACCAGCGTTCCCATGAAGAGCAGCGGGGCCTCCGCTGATAACCAGCTGGTCTGGGTTTAGCTGTTAGAGGAAGGATACAGGGGAAAGGGGTTCTCAGCCCCATGGGGCCCTGCTGAATTTTGTTCTCTGGGAGAAAATTATCAAGAAGGGCTGCATGATGTTTGCCCAAAATTTATTTTATAAGAAAAACTTTTTTGGTTAAAAAAAAGAAAGGAATAAAGGTATGAAAGGGACTGAGGCCTGGGAGCAGCATGGTAAGCCCAGGAGGGAAGAGGCCTGGTAGTGGGCACTCCTATGCTTCTCTAAAGCTTGCGTACCTGCTTGAGGAAGGAAGGCAGGAACCCCAGGGCAGGGAGAGGGGACTGTCTTCAGTGAAGGTGATGACAACTGTAACCTCCTGGCCCAGGGTTCCCAAGGTACTGAATAGGGAACCATTGGGTTCTAAACCCAGCTGTCGAAATGCCTCTGCTAGGCCCCATCAAGGCCTCCAGGACCTCAGTGTAAGGGAAGATGGAAAAAGACAAAAAGTGGCAGAAAGAGAAAGATAGGTGTTTGGGGATTCTGGGCAGCCCATGCTTCAGCCTCTGCAAGCTGATGGTACTGAGCATGGGCCTGTGAGGTTTGGGCCCCATCACATGGTGCTGACATAATCAGCAAAGGCTTGGGATGAGTCCCATGAGTCGCTAACCACGTGGCAGGTGGCCCGGAGCCGCCGGATGGCTTCCCTGGCTGTGACTGCATCCTGGTCCAGCCAGTTCTGGAAGAGGCGCAGATGACCAAAGGCTCCACGACCCCAGCGCTCCAGCCGCTTGGCAAACTCCAGAAGCCCATCTGGCTTGATGCAGTTGGAACTGGTAGGGGTGAGAGAGATTAGACATCCCAAAGCAACTAATCCCTGATCTATATCCTTGCAGTCCCATCCCTTTTTTCCTCCCACCCTCAATGTACCTGATATCCAGTTGACAGAGAGAAGAGGAAGAATCCTCTGAGAAAACATCGGCCAGGGCCAGCAGGCCAGCATTTCCTGAAGAGAAGGGACAAGTACCCATTACCTCCACCCAAGAGCAGGGAACAAGGGTATCCTGACCCAACTCTGGCTGGGAAGAAGCCCTCCCAGGTCCTGAAGCTCCACGTTCCTAGTGGAGAGGTCTGTGCATTTACCCAGTGAGTTTCTAGGTCAAAGGCCTGGCTCCTTCACCCTCTCCCTCCCCAGGGTCAGGCCCCCACCCAGGCGGTTTCCTGGCAGCCGAAGGCCCTTCAGTGTGGAGTTGCCCTTCATAGCAGCAACCATCTCAGGCAGGAATTGGGCTGGGCGCTTCTCAAACAGACGGCAGAAGGAGAAGGTAATCTCTGTCAAGAGAAATTAGAGTAAGTTTTGATGACTGCGTTATGACTGGTGATGCCCCTCCTGCTTCAGGTTGCCCTAGCAAGGTGTGTGAATATATAGAGGCCCAGAAAGAGGGAGGAATCTGTCCAAGATCTCAAGACTGGAACTAAATCAGAATGTTCTTTGGAAGGATTTCTGCATGGACAATTTGTTCACTTTCTTCTTTCCCTTTCTATCCACTGATTCTCTGCATTTGAGGGGAAATCTACACAGCACATTTATTTCCCCTCTTCCACATGCACATCATTTATGCCAGCCCATGAAAGGTAAGAAAAACTTGGGTGAGGTACTCTAAAAGTGAGTAATTTTCTGTGTTTATAGAGGAAGTTGAATTTGGGACTTTTAGAAGGAAAATATGGAGGTTCTGTTTCCTTTTTGTGTAGTTGAGGACACAAGGCCAAGAAAGGAACAATGGTTTTCTCATTGAGAAAACAACAGAGCCACAACGAGGGTCCAGGAATGCCTAGGTTTTGGATTAGAAACTTACCTTGGAGAGTCAGATTCTGTAGCAAAAAGAGCACCTCACTCTGACAGTCAGCCAGATTCATGTCATGAAAGCTCAGCCTCTTCAGGGCTAGATTGTATTCTGTGTAGAAGGCACAAGACATGAGCCATGGACCTTTTAGCTCTCTCAAAGAACAATACTAGGTCCCCAGCTATTCTTTCAGCTGGGTCCTACCTTTGAGTGTCTGCAACACAAGGCCAAAATCCTGGGGAGAGGCAAAGGTGGCACTATCCAGGGACAGCTGCTGTAGAGAACCTGAGGCCTTCAGAACAGAACAGAGCAGTGGGGCTGGCTGGGCTCCTCTTGGAAATCCCATCTCTAACTGTTCCAGGCAGTTTTCTGAATATGACAGGGAAAGAAAATTTCCAGCTGGCCATAATATCATACCTCACTCCCATGGTAGGTCCCATCCTGTCTTTTAAGGAATTCATTAAGAAAATCATCTACTCACCCACTTGTCCTTAAGTGCCTTCTATGTGTCAGGCACTGCTTATTATGGGAATGGAACACTAAAGGTAACACTTGAGGGCTGGGATGTCGCTCAGTGGTATAGCACTTGTATAGCATGCACAAGGCCCTGGGTTTGATCTCCAGCCCCTAACCCCCACCCCCAGAAAACTTACACAGCTTTTAACTAAAACATAAGCAAATAAAATAGACTTTTTATTTTTCTGGTGGTACTGGGGTTTGAACTCAGGGCCTTGTGCTTGGTAGGTGGGTGCTCTACTGCTTGAGCCACTCTTCCAGCCCATAAGCAAATATAGGGTATTCATAGTAGTAGGATAGGAGACATACAGAAAAACTAGGAATGTATAATAAAGGGAACTAGTCTGGTCTAAAGTTCTGTTGTGGTATTAGGGTTTGAACTCAGGGCTTTGCACTTGCTAAGCAGATGCTCTACCACTTGAGTTATGCGTGCCGCCTCATTTTTGTTCTTGACTCAGACCCCTTTTCTGGAGAATGACTTGTCTCTCTACTAGGCTTATGGTAATCTTGGCCCTGTCCCATGCAAGATTATCTTAAAGAATGGTAGCCTCCAAGGGGTAGAGTGCCTGCCTAGCAAGCGTGTAAGGCCCTGAATTCAAGCCAAGTACTGATAGGGTTTAAAAAAAAAAAAAAAAAAAGGTAACCTCTTGGGGGGTATGGCTTAAGTGGTAGATCACCTGCACATTTGTGTAGCAATACATGTATGTGCACACATTGCTTCACCTGGTATCTCCTCATCCCCAATTACATGGCCAGGGGGCCCAGCATTCCCTGGTACAGCAGGGTTGTCCCTTTGGCTTGGGTGGTCAACACGAATAGAGAGGACCCTCAGCAGGGGCAGGGCTCGCACAATGGCTCTTGTCAGCTCCAGGATGGGTAGTGGTGAGAACAGGTCACTGAGATGTAGGGCACGGAGACGACATCCAGCCTGGCCTGATAGGGCCCGCAGACTGTCCAGCAGGCGGAAGATGTTAGAGCCCAAGCCTATGGCAAGAAAGAGATTAAGTCAAAGTCATGGAATTTTGGCAGGGATAACATTTGCAGAGAACTTCAAATATTTGTATTGTGTTAAGATTTGGATCCAATTTTTAAATATTAATTGTCTCATCCATGTCTTGCATTTTCCTAAGGTAACCAGCAAACTTTGATGCCTATATATTGGGTTATGCCCTCAACCATCAGTCAGGGCACAGTCACAAAACATAAGATAGGATCTGATAGGGCAGTGTGAGACTAGCAGCAGAACAACAGGTCCAGAGAGCAGCAGAGGTCTTTAAACTTTTGGGTTCTATTTAGTTTCCTAAAGAAGCAGGACCGTGAAAGAAGGAAATGTTGGGTGGTGGAAGAAGACTGCCATAGGTCACATCTAGAGAAGTAAAGTATGAGTGGGAGTCTTGTTGGGCTAACTGGGGCTCAGGAAATAATAGCTCAAGAGGTGAGGGAGTGGAACCAAAGTTGTGCCAAGTCCTGAAAGCTAAGCTAAAATGATGGCTTAATTTCATAGGTAAGTCATGCATGGGAAGCACCTGTAAACTGAGTAGGAGAGTGACAGTGAGCCAATAGGGAATATTTTAGATGATTCATAGGGCAGGAAAAGATAACCACTTCTGGACTGGGATTGTGGTAGAGAGGAAACTTGCCTATGTGTGAGTGCCTGTGTTTGATCCCCAGTTTAAAAAAAAAAAAAAAGTCTCAGAATGGTGTACAAAGGATCCAGAAAGGCTATAGTAGTTGCCTAGCGCCACAGGTAAATTCCTTGGAAGCCACTGCCTCATCTGCCCCTTGGACTGTGCAAACTTATCTGTTCATTCAACTAAACTTTTTTTTTTTTTGCTAAACATGGCTAAGCAGTACCTATTATTCTTGCCTATATAGCTTGATATAATGTGGAATAAAAGCGTGAGGAAACAGAGTACAATGGAACTGCAAAGAATAGATACCTAACATCTAGTATGGCTTTACATCAATAGAGGTTTTCCAACTGGGTCCTAAAGAATATAAAGGAGACAGTCTTAAAAACAGGAGGGAGAAGAGTAGATATGGAAAAGGAAATGTCATATACAGAGGCCTGAAAGGAGAAAGTGGCACGTTCTAAGTGGAAAAATATGGCTGGTGTATAAAGGGGAAAGCATTCAAGCTATAACAGTAAGCAGGAGTGAAAACGAATGTGATGATGCATGTGTGTGATGCCAGTTCTCAGGAGACCAAGGCAGGAGGATTTTAAGTTGGAGGCTAGTCTGGACTGCATAGTAAGACTTTTTCTTTTTAAAATAAATAAATACGTAAGTAATTAAATAGAAATTAAGGTGAAGTGCAGAAGAGATTTTGAATGACAGGGTCAGAGCTGCATGTTTCAAAGAGTGCTTGTGCTGCAGTCCAGGTAGTGGATTGTATGGAGTCAGAAGGAACTGTTGAAATAGTGATTAATAACAGCATATATTGAGGATGTGGTGACGGAAATAAAATGGGTTTAAGAAATGTTATAGATAGGACCCAGTAACCAAATATATTTGGATAGAGACAGAATCTTGGCTTCTTTAGACAATTGGGCCAACTATGATCTTCAGAACAAGCATCAGTATGTCCAGGTTGGACATGAATTCAGGGAGCTTCTGATGTCTTGTAGCCAACTGGATAAATAGGTCTGGAAGTTCAGGAGAAAGATCTGGCTAATGTCATGGAATGGGGAGTCTAGCATAGCTGGCCACTGAAGCCATAGGAATGGATCAAATTCCCCAGGAGGAATATGTAAAGTAGGAGGGCTCTGAGAAATTGAACCTTATCTGAACTTATCTCTGGGTAAGTAATATCTAGAGAGAGAGAGAAAAAAAAGTTCTGACTCAAGTGGAAAACAGTGATTAATAGCAGTAAATGCTGCCAAGAGCTTATGTAGATGAGGATTGAAAAGTATTCATTGGCTCTAGTAACAAGGAGGACCTTGGAGACCTAGATTCTTCTCAGTGCAATGGCAATGGTATAAGTGAGGCTGGAGTGGACTGTGAGTAGATATAGTGTAGGGGTAAATTTGTGAAGAGCAAGAGATAATAGGGGGATGATAATATGGGATAAACAGAAATGGTACTTTTTGGTGGGAACCTGATTTAATGTTTAAGTCAGTGGAAAGAGAGGCAGCATATGTAGTGGTTTAAAAGTATGGATTCTGGAGTCAAGTTACATGAATTTGACTCCTGGCTCTGCAGTTTACTAGCAAGATTATCCTGGGCAAGTCATTTGACCTCATAAGGTTGCTATGAATTAAATTATATTGAGATGACTTAAAATATGTTTTGGTGAGACAGGTTTGGACTCAGGGCTTCAAGCTTGCAAAGCACAAGTTTTATCACTTGAACCACAACTCCAGTCCAAGATTACTTAAAATAATGGTAATTACTAAGGCATTTGAGAAACAAGCTTCCCTAAGAAGTTGGAAGGCATGAATCCAGAACAGAGGGGAAAGAGTTAGCCTTAGATAAGGTGATTTCTTCCATTGTGAAGGAGAAAAGGATGAATGCAGAAGTAGAAATTTATAGGTTGGTTGATGGAGTTCAAGTGTGATGACTTCTATTTTCTTTGTGAAGTAGGTGAAGCCATCTGCTGAGAAAGAAGAGGTTTGGAACTGGCAGAATAGGAATGGGAGCTGATGTTGCAAACACACAGTGCTTATGAAGGTGATGACCATGAATGTATAGTAGGCACCATCTGCACAGCTGTGTGATTTTTCTCTAGCAGTACTTAGCAACCTAAGGAGATTGCTTGATTTAGCCAGAGAAGAAGCTTTGCTAGCTGGGCACAAGCAGGTGGGGAAGGACTGAGGAATGCTTTGCAGGTTTGCTGGTCTGTTTTAAATTATTGTGTCCCACACCTCCTTGTCTAGACAGCTTCTTTGATGTGACTGGTGGGATCTAACTCTAACCCTAGCTGGGTTTGCATATTTTATACTGTCATACTTGCCCTTGGATTGCCTCCTGTATCCAGCTGACTTATCCTACTGTCCTTCAGGAACCCCTACTTCTAACAGTAAATCGAGCTTATACATCTCATGTTCCTCTCTCTGAACACTGATAGTCTGCCAGTGTTTTTGTGTGTGTCTTGTACTCCCCAGCCCCCTGTAAGGCACAAAGGATCACATCCCCAGCTTTCTGAGCATACTCCTAATTCTTCCCCTCAGGATTAGGCACACAGTGCTGCTAGGTCTGAGCCCAGATCTACCCTCCAGGTGCTCACCATTGTAGGAGAGTGTAAGGCTCTCCAGAGACACCCAGGAGCTCAGCAGGTGGCACAGTGTCAGAGCTGCCTCAGTGGATAGAGGAACTGTGAATAGCTCCAAGGTGGAGATGCTACGGAATCGTTGGGAGGCTTCCAGTGTTGGAAGCCCCAGGCAACTTGGGTCTGATCCATCTAAAGCTCCACAAGCCACTTCCCCAATCTCCATCTCTTCACCATCCTCCTTTTCACCAGCCACAATAAAAACAAAGTCATACAGGTCTTCAGACTCTGCACCAGACCCCTGACGGGTGCGAGCACCCTTCTTCCCTGCAGCTCGTTTGAAACGCTTTAAGGGCTTAGGCTGTGGGGCTGAGCTAGCTGGAGCTCGTTTGGATGAGGATGTGGAAGAGGAGGCAGAGGCAGAGGAGGTGGTGGCTGGAGCAGAGGTTGGCTGCTTGCTACCAGGAGCCTCGTGGGAGGTGGCTGGAGGGTGCAGCTCCCTCTTAGACTCTGTCCCGCCTGCTAGCAGGCTCTCCTGTGTGCTCCGGCGTGTCACCCTGGTGGCAGGTGCAGCTCTGGGCATCTGCTTGACCTCACTCTTCCGCCGGTTGGCCATCAGGGCTGCAGCACATCGCTCGGCAGCATCTCGGCGAGGCCGGCGTGAGCCCAGTAAGAGGGACCCTTCATCTCGTGATGGGGCCCGGCCTCGTGAGGCCTCTCCACAGAGGCGACAGGGCAGGCCACCAGGGCCTGGCTGCCAAAAGCCAGCACTCATGGTGAGTATAAGGATGAAAAGGGCTGACTCAGGCACAGGCCAGGAGTACAGTGACACTTGGCTAACGGCCCCATGGTGAATAAGCTGATGCAATAACTGCCGAAGTGACTGCTGAGCAGCCACATCAGAGAACAGCAGGTGGCGGAACTTTAGGGTGTGCAGGCAACTGGCCAGGGTCTCCAGAACCCTGCGGTTGGGCTCAGCCACCAGCTCAGTTGCACCCTGCAGCATGTTGCAGATGGTGAGCTGCCGGACATGACGGGAGCTGTGCAGGAGAGGTGAGAAGCGCTGGTCACAAAGACGCCTGTCAGAAGACACATCAATGGTTCCACGTAGAACATGGGAAAAAAAGGCCTCCATAAACTTAGCTCGCCAACAGGTCACACTCTGAAAGCAGAGAACATGACAATCGTGATACTAAGAGTGCTGCCCATGAAACTCCTCCCAATTACCTTCTAATAGCAAACTACTGAGTACTTACTGCACCAGGCAACATTCTAAATATTTTATACAAATTCATTTAGTCCTCACATCTTTGATGTATCACTTTAGATCCATTTTATAGGTAAGGCCACACAAGCTGATGAATAAAGAGCATTTTTACTTCATTTTAGCTTTATGTAGGGCAATCTGGTGCTTGTCTAACAAACGTGGTTTTAGTACATGAATATCAATTTTTGGTGGCACTGGGGTTTGAACTCAGCCTCATACTTGCTAGGCAGACATTTTTAACACTTAAGCCACTCTGCCTATCCTTTTTTGTGTTAGGTATTTTTGAGAGAGAGTCTCACAAACTGCCTGGTTTGGTCTGGAACCATAATCCTTATCTTTGCCTTCTGAGTAGCTAGGATTGCAGGTGTGAGCTGCTTGCAGAACCCAGCTAGGTGTGGAACTATTTTTGATGGTTTCTGAAATAGATTTTTGTTTGTTTTTGGTGGTGTAGGGAATACAAGTCAGGGCCTCCTGTAAATTCTATATTTGATTCTATGATACGACCTTTTTTTTTTTTTTTTTATCTTTTTTGTGGTGCTGGGGTTTGAACTCAGGACTCCAGCCCTCAACTTTGTATTTTTAGTGCCACCAGCTTTGTTCAGCTCCTTATGGTCTCACACACTAACTCTTTGCTTCTTTATGACCTGGGTCCCTTTTTCTTTCCCAAACCACTTTTACACAAACCCACTGGATTCCTGTTTTGAAATGTACTGGGGTCATGTCTTTCTTTGAGGCTGTTTTTTGTTGGGACTCCTGACAACTACTCAAGTCTACTAAAGATGTTGGAATTATTCCCTGATATTTGATCTCTGCCTGTGTACATTCCTAACTAGATTAGAATTTCCTGGATAACAGGAATCAAATCTTGGATTTGTCTTCCCCAAGGCAAGTTATTTTCTTTGATGGATATAGTACTTCATCAGACTATTCTGATATTTAGAATTCTGGGTGCAATTGATTTTCAACCTTTGGTACATATCACAATTTTCTATAGAACTTCATCTTCAAAATTTGTATGTCAAAGACCCAGTCTTGGTCTTATTGTATGTGACATCTGAGGTAAGGTCAAGGCATCTTTATTTTTTAAAACATCCCCCAGATGATTCTGATGTTCACCAGAGGTTATGAAGTACTGCTACCTAACTCAAGGACACAACACACTAAGACAAAGACAGGTACCAGGCCCCAGAGTTTCCAACTTAAAACCATCCCTAAGTCATCATCTCCTAAGGTGTAGTAAAAAATCTGCTGACTTCTGATATAGGTCCCATTTCTGCCACTGTACTCTGGACTTCTTTTCTTATGTAAGATGTAGATACCATCACCTGCTTTACAGAACTCTTGGAGATATCAGTGAGAGTGCAAGTTAAAGCACTTGTAGTCTAAAATACAAATTGCTGCTGCAGCAGTTAATGATGATTAGCTCTGATGCACCATGTGAAATGGGGTTGATAAGAGGCAGAGCCTGTTAAATGGTGTTTATTTGTTCTGAAGTAAAGACAGAAGGGGCCTAAGAGCACCCAAACTAAAATACTTTTGTTCTTAACCTGCCTCCATGCATTCTTCCTTATTAGAGTGACCCTTAATTTATATCTAAGGTTCTTAGAAGTTGGGCCTCTTAAAAAAAAAAAAGTCATTCCCTTTGTTCTTGCTATTTCCTAAGATTGCCTGCTGTGGTAGGAATTAGGAATAACTTCATGCTTGAGCTACCCACATGTCAGCATCAGAGAAGGGCCTCATCCACCAGCAGCAAGACATTAGGAAAAAAAAAACAAAAAACGGCAACCAGGTCTCTACTGCTTTTGTTTACTCTGTCCCTTCAGTACTAGGGATTGAACATAGGGCCTTGTACATGTTAGGCAAGCACTCTACCACTAAGCTAGTGTGCTCTGCTTGGCTTTGTGTGGAGACAGGGTACTCCTGAGTTTGTCAAGTCCTACCTCAGTAGCGCTTTTAAATATATTTGGCACTATGTAGCCAGATTGGCCTTGAACTCATGATCTTCCTTGCCTCAGCCTCCTGAGTACTGAGATTATACCACCACGCTCATCTTAAAAAAGTCTTAAAAAACATTTGTAGATAACTAGAAAGGCTTCAACTTCAAAGTTGGGCTAGATGATTATAAAATCTGGATAAGCCTCAACCAATCTACTGTGGCTATTCCTGCATAAAAGGCAAGGGGAAATGTAGGCCAGATAATTAAAATACTGGACTTTTCTAGATCTGCTAAGGGTTAAAAGCAATGGGAGGGAATATTATCACAGATACGATAATTGAAGTCATCAGAAACATGCATTCCAGACAGAAATTGCTTCAACTTTAATCCTGGGTCGGCTGTTCACTAACCTTAGGTAGGCTGATTTACCTCTTTCATCATCTGTAAAGTGAAGGAGATAACTATACCAACATCATAGAACTACTGTAAGGAAGGGCTGAGTATGTAATTAGTTATGACAGCTATTTCAGTGGCTTCTTTCTCATGAGTTAATCCATAAGCCAACAGCAGTTTGCGGCATTTTATTCCATGACCACCTTTTAAAAGAATCTATGCTAAGATGTCAAAACTGAAAAATACCTGAGAGATTTAGTCCATGTCACTCCTTTTATAGACTACAGCCCAGACAAAGTAAACTGATTTAAACACTTTTACATGGAGCACTGCCAATGAGGTGATATGACATTTGCCCACCAACATAATCAACTTAGCTTTAATGGACTGGCAGCTCAGGCACTGAGAAAGCATATACAAACTAGGGAGGCCAAAATATTTTCTTGCACTAAGTTGCTGGAGTAAGCAAGTGTTCATATTCATTGTCTTTTCTGATAATGTGTTTGGAAAGATAAGCAAATGAAAATCTTGTATAAACCAACTCTTCAGTATATGTACTGTGAATAGCTATATTTGTTTTTATAACATAGAAAGTTTGAACAGTTTCAAATGTTGGACTTTTTGAACATTATGGCACCATGCATTTAAGTATTTTTATTTATTTGGCTTTTTGAGACAAGGTCTCTATTGTAACCCAAGCTGGCCTTGAACTCACTATAGTACCCAGTCTGGCCTCCAATTTCAGATCCCCCTTGCCTCAACCTGCCAAGTGCTGGGATTACAAGGTTTTACCACACAGCTGATGTCTTCTTTTGAGATGGGGTTTCATGCCACCATGTTCAACTTATTTTGAAAATATAGATGCAGCATATTAACAATGTCTATTTAATATTTCCATATTTATTTATATATTTCTGTGCTAGGGAGTTGAACTCAGGGCATTACACTTGTTAGGCAAGTGCTCTAAGCATGACCTTTTAAAACAAAAAACAAATCAAAATAAGACTTTACTAATACAAGGTAAAATTTTATTTTCCCATGTGTTATCATTGAGACTAAACATTTTTTACTTTACTGGATATTTTTTGTGTATTTTGTGAGTTGTCCACATCTTTACTCATTTTATTGTTAGGATGTTCAACTTTTTCTTATCCTTGTTATCCTTTAGTTGTGCAAATATTATTTCAAGTGTTCTCTTCCAGTTTATTTACCTTTTTAGAATTTGTTTAGAGAGTTAGCTTTTTATACAGTTAAGTTCATATTTTCTCTATTTCTTTTTTCAGTTCTGGGGATCAAATCTAGGGCCTTGTGCATACTAGGCAAGTGCTATATGAACTACACCCCCAGCCTTATAGTTTCTTCCTTTTTTTTTTTTTTTTTTGGTAGTTCTGGGGTTTGAACTCAGGGTCTCATGCTTGGTAGGCAGGCACTTTTATTGCTTGAGCCACTCCACCAGCCCTCCCAACCTTGTATTTTCTTTTATGGCTTTGCCCATTTAATAATTAGCTCTGTAACTTGGGATTAGATGTCAAGTCACTTTTATTCTTTTTTGTTTATTCTGTGCTTTTACTTTTTTATAATTCAGTCTTTAATCCATATAGAAATTACCTGAGCATATTTTAAAGTAAGACTCTAATTTAATTTTTTTCAAATGGTTAGCCAAGTTCTAGAGAATCATTTATTGAATCACCCTCATTTCCTTACTGCTTTGTCTCCAGAGTATCAACTGTATTATACAGATCTTAACTCAGTTCCTCGAACATGCTAGGCAAATGCTCTTCACTTGAGCCATGTCCCCAGCCCTTTCAGTTTTTTTTGTATTTTGTTTTTAGCATAATGGTCTCAATTTCATGCTAACTTTGCTCTGGCTAGCCCTGAACTCAAATCTTCCTGCCTCTGCCTCCCAAGCAGCTGGAGATTACAGCTATGCACCACCATACCCGGCCTACAGATCTCTTTATAAACACTAGCACTAAATAGTTTAAAATATGCTACATATTTAGTACTATGTAGATTAGAATATGCTAGGTCCTAGCACAGTGCCTAGAACTGAGCAGGTAGGCTGCAAGTGACTTTTTTTTTAAGTGCTGTGGATCCATCCCAAGGCCTTATGTGTGCTAAGCAAGTGTTCTACTACTGAGTTACATCCTTAGTTCCTCAATAAGTTTCTGAATAATCGGTGAGGTGAAGGTTGCTATTATACAAAAATGGGAAGCAGAAGACATCTGGAATAGATATGCCCCATGTTAGGGCCACTATGTAAGTGACTATTAGGCCATCAAGCGTGAGGGCCCCTCCCACCCCAAATGTTCCAAAATGCTTTGCACCAAGAAAACAGAACTTTTTTTTTTTTCCAGGAAGCTTGAGATAATGTTGGATAAAGAAAGATTACAATTTTTATCACTTGCAATCAACAATACTGCTTATGAAATAGTGGGACAAAATGAATCGTTTCTTTACAGATGGCAGAAAGATATTACTGTTTTTTAATATTCTTGCATCCACTTCTCTTCCTCATAAAGCCTAGTATCTGAGGATTTTGTTTGTTTGGCCTTAATGATCTCATCCTGAACTCCAAAGGCTGCAGTCCAGATCTGGAAGTAGAAAAGCTGAAGGATATGGAGCTGAATGTTACTGAACCCAGTGCATCACCAGAAATTAAATCTCCAATTCCTGATACTATCCCCCCTGCCTCCCTTTTTGAACATTTGACCTCATTTACTTTATTAAAACCAGCTTACATACTTCTTGGGATAGACTTTCTTAGTTCTTTCTTCCTCCTTCTCCCTTCTTCCCTCTATCACACCACTTATTCTGTCATCTCTGATCAATTTGCTTGTAGACTTCCTCATTAAATGGTTAAATTGGAGACTGTGTTTGTACTTCTGATATCTAGGATCCAATCTGGTAGGTGGTAGTTTGTCCTAGTAAGTTATTTATTGAACTAAATCTGTTCTGTGAATTTTGGAGCAGCAAAAGAAATTCTGGTCTATCAAAGAGAAGCAAAAAGAGCCCAATAGGCCGTTAGCTTTCTTGTTCAGTATACTGTTTAAGTAATGACCATTTCTCATGGGCATTATTTTCTTTTTTTGTCTTGTTTGTGTTTTATGTCTGTTTTCTTCAGTGTTTAAAATCTGATTTCAAGTTCTGGACTTTAGAGATAGTTACATGGTCATTTCACTAAAAAAAAATTGTTTATTGCCATTTATTAAGCTAAAACTAGAGCATTTTGATTTAAAAGTTATCACTGCCTCCTTTGCTATTTTCATTAAATAGGAGATAAATGACTTTTTCTGTTTGATCTTAGTTTTACAGGTAGTATTCTATTGGCTAGAACTTAATAGTTCTAGTACAAATACTCTGCTGTCTTTTTGTATGATGAATTTTTGTTCAAGAAGTGAGAAATTGCTCATAACCTTTTGGGTATCATTGGAGGCTGAAGAAAATCACCCTGACTGTGTCAAAATAACCTTAACTCAGTAAGCAGGATGAAGGAAATTAAGCCAGGTAAGACTGTCTCAACTCCTGACTTGTCCTTTTCTCTTGTCTGAGTTAGCATCTCCCAGAAAACAAATTTCTAGGGAGCAGTGTATTGCAAAGAGGGTGGGCAACATGTACTCTTGAATACTATATTAATGCCATGCTTACCAGTGAGCCTACAGGTCCACTTGAGGAAGTCTCCATTATTTCAGCGTTTTAAGACTTATCTGCATTGTTACATGTGTTTCTTGAATGATATTCTCAATGTTTTTGTGCATACTTTTCTATTTAGCTTAATTCTAACAATTTTGTATTTTAATAAAATGTTCTAAACATTGCAATCAAAAAAATTCTGCTAAAATAGGAACTTCAATGATTTATATCTGAATCAGTAAATAATCTCAGGACTAAAAAGACTTGTAGAAGACTACAAGTCATCTACAACTCTGTTGAACACTTAGTAATAAGAAGCTTAATACTTTTGGAATTAGCTTGTTTTATCATCAATGATCTTGAGCTTAAAAGTTTTACCTTTAGGTTAGCAAAAATGTACCCTCCTTTAGCTTCCACTCAGAACAAGTCTATTACTCCCTCTTTCTTGTGACAACCATTCATGTATTTCAAGAAGGTTTATGTTTCTCAAGCTTCTTTTTTTCAGGAATAACATCTTGTCTTCCAAATGTGAGTCACACAATGTGGCTTTGACTTTTCTATATTCCAAGGATAGATAGCTTGGCCACTACAGAAGCAAGCAGGACTACTGTGCCCCTTGTCCTTCAGCCTACATTATATTTACATTAGCTCAAACAACTCGGTACAGTTGCTATAAGTAGCTTCAGCACATTGTTGATTAAACCCTCTTAATCTTTTTTATGTAAGCTCCTGCTAAGCCAAACCTCTCTATCCCCTAATCCTGAGGCCTTGCAATTAGAACTTTTTAGAGTCAGTGAAGAGATGGTTTGTTCTTTTAATTTCATTTTGTAGATTTGATCATTGTACCAATTCTGTTATGAATTCTGACTGCCATCCATTGTGATCATACCTTTCCCTGTTTTATATCCCCTGCAAACATGGTAAAGCAAGCAAGTCAGTGATAAATACTAAATAAGCCAAAATCTTGTGACAAGCCATCTGAGCCCAGCTCTCAAATTCATCCCATCTTTGCCTCTGCACTTTACCAGTTCCCATCTTGGGTGTGTGTACTATTTCTGCTTTTTTTGTGCAAAATTAGGCTAGAGTTCTACCTGGTACCTTAACTTACTTCCAAACTGGAAGGCCTTGTCTTCATCAGCTCATCCCAGAGACGGCGCCAAATAGCCTGAGTGGAGAGGCCTGTAGAAAGAAATACCACACTTACTTGGCTGCTCACTGGCCACCATGAGTGAAGTATGCCAGTCTTTCATGTCCTCTGGCTTCACAGGAGCTATATGGCAGAGTGGTTAAGAGCACTGGCTGCCTAGGTTCGAGTATTAGCAAACTATAGTCATGTGACCTTGGGAAAGTTAATTTCTTTGTACCTCAGATTCCTCATCTGTAAAATGTAGTTAATAATAGCTGTTTCGCAGGGTTGTTGAAAAGATTAAATGAGTAAATGAATTTCTATGGGTAAAGTCCCAAAGAGAATGCTTGGCACATTAGGGTTACATAAATGTTAGCTGTTAACAGATTGTCTAGTAAGGAAGACAGCTTGGTAAAATAGAAAAACTAAGAGATTCAGAAGATCTGGTTTCTATGTGCGGCTTTGCTATTAATTGTAGTGCACCTGTGTCTCACTTTTGTCAGAACAACAGGAGATCAAATATATGATCCCTGCTGCTTTGTGTTTCACATTATAGGGAATCATATAAGAAAGTAGGTATGAAGATATTTTTTGAAAAGCATGAAGTTCTATGCAGGAATGAGGTGTAATATTTACCTGAAAAACATCATGGTGCCTTGTTCATAATCACTGACTGGGAAAGAGACAGAAAGATACTCACCTTTCTTGAGGGCAGTTTCCTCAATCCTCTCCAAGTAATATATATTGAGCAGAGGTAAGATGCTTTGAAGTATTGGGCCTGGAAGGGCTACAAAAACCAAAACACAAAGTTTACTTTTTCCCCTGCCAGAGTTCCAAGCATTATTTATCCTATTGGAAAGGAAAACAGAAGTGTAGACTTCTCAATTGACAGATGGAATCTGGAGAAGCTAACCTCAGTCTATTCCAAAGTCTGACCCATTTATATTCAGTTGGCAGCTGGAATTTCAGGAGTAAGGGTAGATAACTCACAAAACAAGCTAACCTGCTCACTTAGGAGCTGGTCAGTTCACTTGTGCCCAAGCATAATGAACCATTCTGCATTAAAAAGGTCCCACCTGATGGTGGAGTGGCTCAAGTGGTAGAGTGCCTGCCTAGGAAGTATGAAGCCCTCAGTACAAACCCAAGAACTTCCAAAAAAAAAAAAAAAGGTCCTACTGAATATGTGTGAAAAAAGCTTCTTTATAATCTGCCCTAACTTAAGCTTCCTGCTTTGCCACCTATCTTTTTTTTTATTTATATAACACATTATGATGCTTTCTGCATCTACATACTGTTCTCTCCCACATGAATATCCTTGCTGCTTTTATTATATCAACTATTTATCTTTTAACCATCATAAGCCCTGTATTAGGTCTTTATTGAATTCCCTTCCCACTCTTCCAGATTGACCACTTTCATTCTTTGAGCTACTGCTATACTTTGAGCATAGCATTTCCTATGAAGAATAGAGATAATTAAGCCAGCTACTGTGGCTTGTGCCTGTAAACCCAGCTATGGGGGGGGAGAGGTGGGGAAGCAGAGATTGGGTGGATCATGGTTTGAGGCTAGGCCAGGTAAAAAGTTAGCAAGACTGCATCTCAATCAGTGAGCCAGGTGTGGTGGTATGTGTCTGTAATTCCAGCTACACAGGAGGTATAAGTAGGAGGATCATACTCCAGGCTGGCTGGGACAAAACAGAGTGTATCCATGCTGGGGCATGGCTCAAGTGGTAGAGCACTTGCCAAGCAAGTACGAGGCTGAGTTGAAACCCCAGTTCCATGTTAAAAAAAAAACAAACAAAAGTTTCTTTTTTTGACAATTAGTTTCTATACTATAAATCTGCTATATCTTAAAAATAAAACCAGCTCTTGCCAACTTCTAGTTCTGAGAATTACAGTAGACTAAAAGGTTTAATCTTCAGAGTTGGACAAATGTGGGTGATCCTCATTGATCACTTAACTTTGAGTTCTTGGACAAATTACTTAACCTCTTTTATTTTTTTGGGCGGGGGAGTTTTGGAGTTTGAATTCAGAGCTTTCTTTGTGCTTATGAGACAGGGGCTCTACCACTTGAGCCAAATCTTTAGCCCTATTTAGCCTCTTTAAGTCTCAGTTTCCTTAATTTTAAAATGGAGATAGAGGGCTGGTGGAATGGCTCAAGTGTAGAGTGCCTGCCTAGCAAGCATAAGGCCCTGAGTTCAAGCCCCAGTATTACCAAAAGTGGGGAGACAAACTAAAATGGAGACAGAAATGACTGCCTCTAAGGCTAGAAACATGGTTCAAGTAGTAGCAAGTCAAGCACAAAGCCCTGTGTTCAAACCCCAGTACCTCCCTCCAAAAAAAGAGAAAAGAAAAAGAAATGACTATCTCATGTCATTGTTGTGAAGATTAAATATCTTGTAATCTATTTAAGACATGCCTGGTCATAGTAATTTCACTAAGTATTAGCTATTATTATGTTTATTCTGCCAATGGCATCTCTGTCCTACCAACCCTAAGTTCTTAGAGTATATCAAAACTTCCATTCAAGATCTGTTTTTCCCTTTACTTGTGGACTAATTGAATCTTGTACAATTCTTTGTACCCAATAGGTACTCAATGCACCCGCTAAATGAAAGTCTTAATTCCCTATGCTATTTTACTGATGTAGGCCATATCACTTATCATCTGGACTGATCTCCTTGACCTCACTTTCTGAATCCTGCTCTTAGTGATGACATTCCCCTCTTCAAAAGGCTTTCTACTGCATTCAAGATGAAATTCTTGGCATTCAAGGTATAATATACCTATTCTACTCATTATACTCTTTCCTGCTACCTCTACTTACTTCTCTCTCTCTGCTTTACATAAAGCAGTGCGAGTACACCACCTCCAGAAAGCTGTTCCTGGCTGTTTCCTAGCCTGTACTGAGACCTTCCTCTAAAATAGCACTGCTTAACAGTCTTCTTACTTGGCCCTTTCTCTTAAAAGGCTTTACTTGTTTCAGCTTTTTCTGTGTGATTGTTTACCTGGTGTAGCCTATAGGAGCTCTTCCTCTCCTGTTTCCTTTCCACCAATAATAATGGTGGGGGTAGGTACAATAATTGTGGGAGAAGGGAGAAAGGGAAAAGGAGGTTTAATAAACTGTCAACTGATTGTACTGGTGGGAAGAGACACAGAAATTTTTTCAGAAACTTTTCCCCTTTCCCTCCAATCTGGTCCTCTTTGTTTAGCTATCCCCTCTCACAGTCACAGGAACCATGCACGTTTGCATCTTACATGCAAACCATGCTGTTCCTTTCTCCATTTTCCTTTTTGGTGGTACTGAGGTTTGAACTCAGGACTCTGTACATGCTAGCAGGTGCTCTATCACTTGAGCCATGCCCCCAGCCCTTTTTGCTTTAGTTATTTTTCAAATAGGGTCTCACTTTTATGCTGTGGTGGCCTGAACCATGATCCTCCTATTTATCTATTTGTGTTTCTCATGCTGCCACGCCCATCATTTTATTGGTTGGGATGGGGTTTTAGCTGTTTGCTGGGGTGGCCTAGAACCAAAATCCTTCCAGTCTCCCAAGTAGCTAGGATTACAGTGATGAACCACTGCACCTAGCTTCTCCATTCTTTTTTTTAAAAAAAAAAAAAAGGACCTCTACAGGTGCTCTACAACTTGAGCCACTTGCCAGTTCCCAGAGCTGGCTTTGAACCCTCAATCCTCCTAATCTCTGCCTCCTGAGTAGCCGAATATAGGCGTGAGCCACCACTGCCCTGCTGGCTTCTATTCTTTTTTTTTTTTTCTTTTGCTTCTATTCTTCTTAAGCCAGGTTTTTCCTTGATTCTTTTAATCCCATACCTTCCTTTCTCTTCTTCTTCTCGTCCTCTTCTCTTTTTTTTTGGTGTACTGGGGGCTGAACTCAGGACCTCTATCATTTGAAGCCACACCCTCAGCCCTGTACTATTAATGCTTCCTTTTCTCAAGCTGGCGCCTCCATACTCAGTTCTCTCCACTTCTATCCAAGCATCCCAGAAGCTCCAGGCTGAGGCAGCCAGACCTTCTCTGTCTTCTTCCATATTCCCAAGAAGCTTAGTTCCACTGAGGCTGCTCTCTGGTTCCCCTTAGGAGCCTGACCCTTCTCTCCTCAGCTGTTGGCAAAGGACCCTACAGTCTCCTCCCAGCACAGGGCCTGAAGACTCCTAACATTCTTCCAGCCCTCACTGCATGAAGGCCCTTGGGCCCCTTGGTACTGGTATTGGTGGTCCACGTCCACTCTCCAAGGCCTTGGGGCTGCTCTGGGGCTCTGGATGACCTCCTCACAGTATAACCCTCCCGCTAAGTGCCCGCAGAGCACACAATCCTCTTCAGTCCTGACCTGGCCAGGGCCTTCCTCCTGGCAAAGATGCCACCACCACCCTCCCCCGCACACTCCAAGGCCAGAGCCTCCTCTCTTCTCCGGCCACCTCCCTCCTCTCCTGGTCCCCCCGCCCCCCCCCGCCTGTGATCTCCTCCCCCAACTTAAGCCTGGCTCTGCACCGCGCCCCCACCCCACAGTTTGTCAGGCTCTGGGCCTCCCGTGTCCCCCCCTGAGCAGTCAGGCCTGTTCTGAAGCGCCTCACCTTCCCTCTTTTCCCTCTTTCACCGTCCACTGTCAGTCCTCACGTCATGGGCCCTCACCAGCTGCCAGGCCTCGCGCCCCTGGCTGGCGGTACCCAGCCCATAACCGGCCTCCCCTCCTCCGTTATCACCCCGCCGTACCCCGGGCCCCTCAAACCCGCGCCCCCGGCCGCCCACTTTCCGTTCAGCCTGGACGGCGTCTACCAAAGCCCGGCCTTCCATGCCGGCCACTCTGAGGCCTGGCCCTTGTTCACACCCACTGGGTCCGAGGCCTCTGTGCCGCGGCGCGCCCCCTCCCTCTCCCGCCCGGGATCCGGGGCCTCCCCGGCCCGCCGCTCGGGCCCATCCGAGGGGTTCCGGCGCCCCCTGCTCTGCAGCCGATTTGGCAGCAAGGCCCCGGCGTCCGTGCACTCCCGTCAGCCCTGCCCGTCAGGCAGGCCGCGGCGCACGGAGACTTGCGGCCTGCCTCTCCCCCAGCAGTCCTTTCCTCTCCAGTCCTCTGTCCCACCCGCCCGCAAGCTGTGCCTCCGGAGTCTCGGCACCCTGGGGTGTCCAGAGCACAGCAGAGGCCCGGGCCGTCAGTCAACTTTGGTGGCCCCGGGCCTGGCCTCCTGGCCTCACGCAGGGCCTGCCAACTTCGGCCCCTGCCCTGGGGCAGCCGGACCATCCTGCCCGTCGGCTGGACATCCGAGACTCCCTAAATCAGCCTAGCTGAGTGTCAGTGCGGTGCCCGCTGCTCCGGCCTGCCAATCCGCCTCTGTTGTCCGGGCCCTGCCTGCTTTGCCCTAGACCGGGCCCCGTGGCCTCTCCCCCTGCGCCCCCCGGCCACGCCGCGATGCGGGTCCACTTGCTCTTTTGGTCTCTGTCTCTGTCCAGCCCTGTCAGTCATGGAATTCATGTTTCAACCCAACAATCTGGCTTCTAGGGCCCGGGGCTGGGCCTTGCCCCGGGCCTCTCGGCCTCGCCCCCTCGCCCCCTGGCCGCTGGGCCGCCCCCGCTCGTTGCCAGAGGTAGCCCCTCACCCCGCGACTTACCCCACACCCCGCTCTCCAGAACCCCCATATGGGCGCTCACCGCCCGCCCGCACAGCTCGAACAGGGCGGGGGGAGCGCTGGGGCCTGAGGCCGAGCTCTTCGCTGGCGCCGCCTCCCGGGACGTGGCCTCCATGGTCGTTGCCGCCGCTACCTCACAGAACCAGCAACTCCGGGCGCGCCAGGCCTCGGGCGCCGCCATCTTGGGGAGGTGCGCGAGCCCGAGAGTGGCACCCGCAGGCCGCCATCTTGAAAAGGTCAGCAGTTAGGACGGTTCCATAAGGGATATAGGTGAGAATGGAAACTGCGCTAAAGGACTGTCGAAAAAATCAATAAATTCGCCAAAAATCTTAGAAGCTACTATTTGATATACAACTTTAGATCAATATATTTAGGCCTGGAGTAGCTAAAGGGATGTTTCTTAGCAAAGCCTTCTCAGGTGCAAATATCGGCTCCCCCTACCTTTTGCTTCTGGTAGGTAGTACATGCCAATCTGAGCATGTGTTCGGGACTACGCTAAGTATGCCGCACTTCCGGCTATATCGCCGGATATCCGTTGAGTGACCCTTGCGAGTCCTTTTTGATCAAGTGGAGTAGGTGCCGTGGTGTTACTGCTGGTGTTGCATCCAGAACCGTAGCCGGACATGGGGCTGGAGGACGAGCGAAAGATGCTGACTGGATCTGGAGATCCGAAAGAGGTAAGGCAAAGCTGTCCACTCCACCCTCTTCACTGCCGTAAGGCCCCGGTCCTAGCCCGCCAAAGCACGTACCTGGGCCCTCTTAGTCCGGGTTTCCTAAGGTTTGGGAGAGCTGATTCCCGCTCCCGTTCTGCAGGGTCTGCCTAGTGACTCTGGGCAGGTAGAGGCCTATTTTTTGTTTTTTTTCTGGGTCTCGGCTTTCCTAGTCTGTAAATGTGGTGAAGGCTTAACGAGAGCGAAAAAGTACCGATAGCGTGTGTAAAAGTAGTTAACCTGCGTTTTCAGTCAATTAGGTGTTCTGAGGTCGGAGCAAATAGACCAGCGCTAGTCTCTATCCAGTTCATGTTAGTAGTCTCTGTGACAGCCTTTGACGTTCTCGGGATCCGAATTTACATTCCTTTATGTGAAAAAGTGGAAGGGGGATGTGAGGGACTTGTGTCTTTGAGGACAGTGTGGGAATGTGCAGTGAGTTCTGCGATAAGGGAGCTATTTCTACCATTTCTAGATGAGGCAACAAGCATATAGAGAGGCTAAATAGCTTCTCTAAGGCCACACAGATAACCAAATATTGCAGCTAGGAATTGAGTCCAAGCAGCATGGTTCTAGAGCCAGGTACCCACAGTACCTTTTGTGTAAAGCTACTCGGCTTTACGAAAGTCAGGATTCCCACCCAAGTACTGGGGTTTGAACTCAGGACTTCACACTTACATGACTAGCGGTCTACCAATTGAAATTCAGTAGCTTTTTGCTTCCAGTCTCATTTTCCACCCATTGGCCCTCTGGTCACTTCAGGACAGTCATTCTGGGCTTACTGGGCTCAGAATTGCTGGAAATCTGGGCAAGTGTGATGGAGCTGTAATCCCAGCACTCTGGGAGGCCGAGGCAGGTGGACAGCAAGTTGGAGGACAGCCTGGGAAAATATAGTGAGACCCTGACTCAAAAAACAAAAACACCAGAGGAGTTGGGAACTTGTTTATCCCTTAATCTTTCCTAGTCTTATAATTTTCAGAAAGTTCAGGAGGGCCTACCACAGCAGTAGATGAGAAAAGGCAAATAAATAGACAATTTTAAAATTAAGAATACTAAGGTATTTTGATGAAGGACCCATTAAGTCTTGCAGATTAAATCTTTTGCTGTGGTTTTTCTGACTGAATAGAAATTTTACATACGTAGACTTACATTTTGGTTTGTTTTTCTAAAACATGCCATAATGTTTTTGACCCAGTTATCAGTGATACAAAATTATCAGTGTTGTGGCTAATAGGGAGATGTCATAAAAGTATTGCTTCTATAATATTAATGTCAGATTTCTAACTCAGGCAGGATGTGATTTTAGGCTTTTTTTTTGAGGGATGGGTAACTAGTGTTTGAACTGAGGACTTTTGTGCTTGTGAGGTAGAACCATACCTCCAGTCCTTTTTGCTCTGATTATTTTGGAGACAGGGTTTCGTTTTTTGCATGCAGGTGGCTTGAGGGAAGGGAGGGGAAAGGGGGAAGTAAAAAGAACAACCTCAACAATCACTGTGTTTTCAAAATCCCGATAAAATTTGTTTTTGATTGGCAAAAAAGATAGAATTTATTATAGTTCTGAGAGAAAGGGACAGCCACACAATGCCACACAGAGAAGTAGTCAAAAAGAATAGGAGAGGCTTGGGGCATGGTTCAGCAGTAGAGCACCTGCTGAACGAGCACAAGGTCCTGAGTTCAAACCCCAGTACCAAAAAAAAAAGGAATAGGAGGAGAATCTCGGTTTTTAGGGAAGGAATGGGTGAATCAGGACAAGCAAGCTTGATGAAATTTAGGATTGGATATTTTGAATAATTTTGTTGAGCTCTGGGCTATAGGACTGGTGCCTAGTTGTCCTGTGTTTGGCCTTTGGGTGATTTAGGTAAATATTAGGTTGGGAAGTGAGACTCACATAAAGGAAGTAGTTGGCTATATGAGTTTTTGATTAATTAGGATACTTATGAAAGGTATGCTCTCAGACAGTCTGCATGCTATCTCTAAAAACAAGCTAGTCCTGGGAAAACAGGATTAGTAAGGCTCTTAAGATGTCATAAAACACACAAAATAAACATTAGTGCAATGTCTATCCTTAGTAATTATGGCATCAGTATCATTGGGAAGATATGTCATAAAATCGCTGCTGACATTTTCTTTTCCTTTTGTAGGAGGAAGAAGAGGAGGAGGAATTAGTGGTAAGAGCTGTCTCAGATTTGGAATTATCTATGTAAAAAAAAAAATGCAAGAGTTCAAGCTTCATGAAACTCTAGGGCATCTTAAGGAACCTTTACTTGACGCCTTGGAGAAGACGAGAGTGTAATATGCCTTTAATATTTCCTGTACAGTGGAGTATTTGGGAGTGTAGGCCTGGAAAGCTGCATCTGATCTGTGTTTGAGGATTCTTCAGTCATACCAAAGATCAGATGATATCTTAAGGGCCTGGCACTCATTCATCTGCTATTTGTGGTTTAATAATGAACTCTGGAAGGGACTTTTCTTAGATGGTCCTTCTCTGTGTTAGCACTGCCTTTCTAGCTGGGCAGCTGAGGTGCATAGGCCTGGTTCTCAGACAAGGTGAATTGAAATTTTAGACATGACCTTTTCCAAAATGCTGTGTTAACAATTAAAGCCTCCAATAAATCTACTTAAGTTTGCCAGGTTTCCTTTGCCACCTTGGTTTTCAGCTAGGACTGAGGCATTCAGTGTATACTGGCAACTTTGGAAGGCAGGAATGTGAAATTTTTCCTTACTATATAGACCCCCATTCTGCCATTTCTGGTGGCAGTGTGGCTCTGCCTGCTGGCATTGTGCACAGTAATTCAAACATGGCATCTTGATTTGTTGGTTATATTAATCAAAGCATATATATTTGGTGGATCTTCCCTAAGGCCTCCATTTTATTTTTCTATTTCTTATTCAGGATCCCCTAACAACAGTGAGAGAGCAATGTGAACAGCTGGAGAAATGTGTAAAGGCCCGGGAGCGACTAGAGCTCTGTGATGCACGTGTATCTTCCCGATCACAGACAGAAGAGGACTGCACTGAGGAACTCTTTGACTTCTTGCATGCAAGGGACCACTGTGTAAGTCAAACTGAAATCAGGAAGGGCAAAGCTTACAGAGGCCAGGAACCATTTGGTGCTCACAGTCTTTCTGTGTTTGAGGCAGGATCTTTAGCAGTCATTTACCATGGGCCCTGTATTTGTCAGTACAGTGCTGAGCATTTTACATATATAATCTTAACTGATCCTTACCACTTCTCTTGTAGAAAGGCACTATTATCCCCAGTTTACAAATAGAAGCTGAGACTCTGAGAAAAAAAAAATGACACCCTAACTTACACTGCTAAACAGGAGAGAAGCTGGATTTTGTACTTTTTTGTGTGTATGTGGTGCTGGGGATTGAACCTAGGGCCTTATGCATGCTAGGCAAGCTTTCTGCTACTGAGCCATATCCCTAGCCCTGAATTTTGTACTTTAGTGTATATCCTTCAGTTTGTCTTATACATTGAAGTTTGTTCACCAAGTTCTGCTTTTTTTTTTTTTAAAGTAAATTTGTGCTTAACTCTTACGTATAACAGTAAGGAATTTTACATAAATTACATACAGGCACAGTGTGGTTGCTTCTATTAAAACTGATAGGGAGTTGGGAGTGTGGCTCAAGTGTGTTTGCCTAGCAGGCATGAGGCCCTGAGTTTAAACCCCAATACCATGTACCACAAACAAACAAACAAAAATCTTTGCTGGGCATGGTGGCTCACATCTATAATCCCAGCTACTCTGGAGGCAGAGATCGGGCAAATCAAAGTTCAAGGCAAGACCTCCATCTCAACCAGTGTGGCAGATGTGATAGTTTACACCCATTATCCCAGCTATTTGGGAGACCTTTGGTGGGAGGGTCATGGTCCAGGCCAGCCAGGCAAAACAGGAGACCCTATCCAAAAATAACTAAGGCAAAAAGGGCTGGAGGTGTGGGTTAGGTAGTACAGTGCCTGAGTTCAAACCTTATTACCACCAAAAAAAACAAAACTGTATGAAAAGATCTCATGGGTTGGGTGTGTGGCTCAGTGGTAGTACTCAGCTCCATAGCAGAGCACTTGCCTACTGAGGCCCTGGGTTTGATCCCCCACATTAAAAAACAGACAAAAAAATGTAAGTGTTGGAGAGAATGTTGAGAAATTGGAAACCTAATACACTGCTGGAGGGGATGTAAATTGGTACAACCACTGTGGAGAACAGTCTGGCAGTTCCTCAAAAGTACAGAGCCAGGTGTGGTGATATACACTATAGTCCTAGCTATTGGGGAGTTTGAGCCCAGGAGTTTGGGGGTTCAAAGCCAGCCTGGGCAAATGGTTCATGAGACTATCTTGAAAATACCCAACACAAAACAGCACTGGTGGGCTGGCAGAGTGGCCCAGGTGTTAGAGTGCCCACCTAGCAAGTGTGAGACCCTGAGTTCAAACCCCAGTACTGCCAAAAATAAATAAATGAACAAATTTTTTTAAAAAATGGAAGGGTGAAACCCGGTATTTAAAAAAAAAAAATAGAAAAGAATTTTGGAGCTGGGGCCTGGCTTAAGTGGTAGAGTGCCTGCCTTACAAGCACTGTACTTGAACCTCAGTACCACAAAAAGAAAGTTAAGCATGAATTAACGTATGACCACAGTTAACAGTGATCATCAGTTCAACTCCTATGTATATACCCAAGAGAAATGAAAACATTACATCCACACAAAAATTTGTGCATCAGTAGTCATAAATCATCATTCTTAACAGCTAAAAGTAAATACAATATAAATTTCCTTCAGCTGAACATAGTGGTGCATGCTTGTAATCCCAGCATTCAGGAGTCTGAGGCAGGAGGATTGCAAGATGAAAACCAGATTGGGAAGGTGGGTGTTTGCCTAGCAAACACTCTGGGTTTAATTCTCAGTACTGTTAAAGTAAATAAAGAAATAACCCACCAGGGACTGGAGGTATGAGGTATGGCTCAAGCGGTAGAGCACCTGCTTTACAAGCATGAGTCCCTGAGTTCAAACCTCAGTCCCACCAAAAAAAAAAGAAAGAAAAAAAGCGTCAACTGAAATATCGAGAAATCAAATGAGGTATGACTATAAAATGGAATTTTATTTGGCAATAAAAAATATCAAGTACTTTCCTCAAAAAAACAATTACTATATTATCTAGCAATCCCATTTCTAGATATACATCCAAAATAACTCATAGTAGAGACTCAGGCCCATGTTCATCCATGTTTATTACAACCAAAAGGTGGAAACATCTCAGGTGTATCTGTGGATGGATAAACAAGACGTGGGATAGTAACATCTTAAAAATGGGAAACCAACACATGCCACATATATTTGAACCTTGAAGACATTATTCTGAGTGAAATGATCTAGTCACAAAGGACAATACATTATTCCACTTCTATAGGGTATTTAGGGTAGTCTCGTTACAGAAACAGAAAGTAGAGCAGTGGTAGCCAGGAGCTGGTTGAGGGGCAAATGGAGAAATGGAGAGTTATTGTTTGTTTCCTATTTATATAAAATGTTCAACATAGGCAGGTCATGATCTGTCCCTTATTACATGTCCTTGTGGTGACTTCTACCTCAAACTTAGTAGTCATTCAACAAATACTTAAATACTTCTATGAGCCAAGCACTGGGTTAGGATCTGGATTAGGCATGGGTCCCTTCATTCATTGAGTTTAAGAGCCAGCCTAGGAGACTATTTTAATAGAATAATAAACTGTGATGTCTCATGTGTAGCCTCAGAATGACAATCACTGACCCTCCCATTTAAAACTGCCATGTCCTCACTACTACCAGAGGTTACCTTGGCTGGGTGTGGTGGTAACACACCTGTATTCCCAGCATTCAGGAGGCTGAGGTAGGAGTATCGTGAATTAGACACCAGCCTTGGCTACACAGTGAAAATCTGTCTCAATTTAAAAAAAAAAAAATTAGGACTGTGAGTGTGCCTCAAGTGTAGTGTCTGCCTGCTAAGTGCAAGGCCCTGAGCTCAAATCCCAGCACTGCCAAACCAAAAACTAAGAAATTCACAAAATAAAAAAATTTTTCTTATTTTTGTGTTTATTATATTTCTCATTACTTTCTAAGTTCCATAAGTGTCACAGATGTTGTCATGTTTACAACTATAACTCTTAGCATTCATTTTATTTTATTTTTTGGTGGAACTGGGGCTTGAACTCAGGGCCTCACACTTGCTAGGCAGGTGCTCTACCATTTGAGCCACTCCACCAGCCTTGTTTTGTGTTGGTAATTTTTCAGGGCTGGCTTCCAACTGTGATCCTCCTGATCTCTGCATCCTGAGTAGCTAGGATTATAGGCATGAGCCACAGGTGCCTGGCTACTCTTAGCACTTAGAACAAGACCTGGCACAGAGAGGCTGTTCTGCAAATATTTACTGAATTAATTAATATTAGTATCAGAGTGATGGGAGATACAAATTTATATGGAGTATTCAGGAGGGGCAGATTTGTGTGGTAATAGGGGATTATTTAGAGTAAACAGGAAATGACATAAAAGATTTACAAGTTCTAAAGGAACAATGAAAAAAGGGGGAGAGTTCCAGATAAAGGAGATTAAGGTAATTGAGAGGCATTTACTAGGGTACAAGTACAGATATGAGTGATGAGAATGGCGTGGTAAGAAAAGAGGCAGTGCTAGTACTGCTTCAGGTCATGAAGGACTGTGAGCCACGACATTAAAGCTGCAAATTGATGACTTTTTTTCTTTTCCCCATCTAGGTGGCCCACAAACTCTTTAACAGCTTGAAGTAAATGTGCAGATGCATTCACCTCAGCCTGTATCACCTGGGCATCAGGATATTTCCTTGTGGTTTTGAACATGCTGTTAGTTTCTAATGTGTGTAACTATAAATTCCTATAAATTTTGGGTTTAGCTTAAGACCTTCCATATAAGTAGCAGTGATCCAGGTTAATAAAGTCCTATGGTCTTTAATCCTGCTTCCTGTCCTTTGTCTATTATTGTCTGTTTATTTATTTGTTTGTTTATGTTTTTGTAGTACTGGGGATTGAATTCAGGGCCTTGTGTATGCTAGGCAAGTGCTTTACCACTGAGCTACAGCTCCAGATATTTTTATTTTGAGACAAGGTCTTGCTAAGTCAGCCACACTGGATTCAAACTTGTGATCCTCCTGTCTCAGTCTCATTAGTAGCTGGGATTTCAGGCAAGCTCCACTAAGTCTGGCTCCTTTAATTTAGATTTTTTTTTTCTTTTTTTGCAGTGCTAGGAATTGAATCCAGAACCTCATGCATGCCAGGCAAGGCAGAAGGTTTGTGAGTTCAAGGTCAGCCTAGGACATAGTGAGACCCTGTCTTAGAAAGAAATGTTCAAAGATGTGAGAACAGAATAATCAGCCTTCATGCTCCCATCACTTAACAAATATCTCTTACTAATAGGACTTTTTTTTTTTAATGCACCATAATGTCATTATCACACTTAGTAATAATTGTTCAGTATTAAATATCTAGTCCATACAAAAGTTTTTTTTTTTTTTTTGGCTGCACTGTGAATTAAACTTGGCCTCATGCTTGCTAGGCAGGCGCTGTACCAATTAAGCCACTCTGACAGCCTTTTTTTTTTTAAATTCGAGAAAGGGTCTCACAAGCTATTTGCCTGGGGCTGGCTTCAAACTGCCTTCTGAGTAGCTAGGACTAAAGGTCCACTGGCATCTGGCAAGGATTCTTTTTTTATTTGAAGGCCATACTAGGTATTGAGCTCAGCTACTGATGCTTGCTAGGCAGGCACTTCAAAGATCTTTTGAAGATGAACATGGTGGCTCATGCCTATAATCCTAGCTACGTGGGAGGCAGAGATCAGGATGCCAACCCAGGCAAAAAGTTCGCAAGATCCCCATCTCAACCAATAAAAGCTGGGCATGATGGCAAGTGCTTATCATCCCAACTACTTGGGAACTGAGAATAGGATTACTGTCCAGGTTCTCTGAGACATAAAAGTGAGACCCTATTTGAAAAATGACTAAAGCAAAAAGGGCTAGGGGTGTGGCTCAAGTGTAGAGTGCCTGCCTGCCTACCAAGTACAAGGCCCTGAATTAAAACCTCTGTACAGAAAATTTAAATTTTTTTAAAAACATACCACCAAAAAAATTATCTTTTGACAACTTTTTGGTTTCAGTGTTCCACAGGTTTGTTCTCTTATTTTTTTACCCTGTGGTACTGGATTTTGCTAGGTAGGCTCTCTACCATTTGAGCTACTCCATCAGCCCTTTTTTCTGTTGGTTATTTAATTTTTGGCAGTGCAAATTTTGGGGTTTGCACTTGGCGTCATGCTGGCTGGGTAGGTGCTCCACTGCGTGAGCCACTCCACCAGTCCTTTTTGTTACATATTTTCAAGATAGGGTCTCGTGAGCTATTTGTTTGGGCTGGCTTTGAACCTCAATCCTCCTGATCTCTCTGCTTTCTGAGTAGCTAAGGATTACAGGTGTAAGCCACTGGCACCCAGTTTCTCCTTTCTTCCTTAGTCCCCTTCTATTTTTTTTTTTTCCCTAGTCCCCTTCTTATGGTGATTTCAACAGTTTTAAAAATTCTTTATTCATTCTTGTGCAGAAAGTACATAACAGCCGGGTGCTGTTGGCTCATGCCTGTAATCCTACCTACTCAGGAGGCAGAGATCAGGAGCACAGAAGTTCAAAGCCAGTCCTGGCAAATAGTTCGTGAGATCCTATCTAGAAAATACCCAGCACACAAAAGGGTTGGTGGAGTGGCTCAAGGTATAAACCCTAAGTTCAAACTCTAGTACAGAAAAAAAAAAGAATGTCAATCATATTCACCTTCTTAACTTTCTTCTGTTACCCTTCCTCTTCAGTTAGTGACCTCCCTTAGCATGATCTGTTTTTCATAATATTGTTTGCATTTGTGTTGGGCCTATATTCCACATATGATAGAAAACATGTGCCTTTGGCTTTCTGAACCTGGTTAAAAATTCATTCTTTATGGCTGAATAAAATTCTAACCTGCTTTTTAATCAATTTTTTTTTTTTTTTGGTGCTGTGATTGAACCCCAGGCTTTGCACATGCCAAGCGTATTCTTCCACTTAGCTGCACCATACCCTGTCACTCTGCCACTCCACTAGCCCTTTTTTGTGATGCGTTTTTTCAAGATAGAGTCTCACGAACTATTTGCGGGGGCTGGCTTTGAACTGTGATCCTGCTGGGCTGGTGGACTGGCTCAAGTGTTAAGAGTGCCTGCCTAGCAAGCCTGAGGCCCTGAGTTTAAACCCCGTGCAAAAAATAAAAATTAAAAAAAAAGAAGAAAAACTGATTTTCCTGATCTCTTCTTCCTGAGCAGCTAGGATTACAGGTGTGAGCCATTGGCCATTGGCGCCTGGCCACTATGCTACTTTAAAGCCAGTCAGTCCTTAGAAGTGCAATCCATCCTCTTCTCTCCACACTCACTGCCACTACACTAATCCAGACCATTATCTTCTTCATTTGGTCTTCTGTCTTTCTCCTGCCTACTCACGATCATCTCTAAAACACTGATCTGATCATTTCCCTTCTCTCCACTGGATACCTAAAGGTAGAGTCAAGTGTTGTGGGGCCTAACATTTACACAATTTGAGAGGCTCCCTTTCAGAAAAATAATACAAAAATTAGGAACCGAGCCTTGAAAGGGGCCATGAAAATGTCAGGTCCTGAAATTTAAACTTCATTAGCTTCACTGTAAATCCACCTTTGCCTACAAGTTTGGTCTAATTTTTCTCTACCTCGGGATCTTTCTCTGCAATTACTGCCTAGAAGCCCTCTCCTGACACTTTTTCCCTAGGTAACTTCTTTAGCCCTCAAACACCAGCTCTCAGTCCTCTCTGATCTGGGTTAGGCGCCTCTTCGGAGTTCCTCACACTGCTCCAAGCACCTGGGCGGAACCACCATTCTGGTGCCAGGTTGCTGTTTTTTCCAGCATTCTCAAAGGACCTCTGAGCCTGATACTGGAGATGGGCGGAGCCCTGGGAGAGCGTCAAAGACGTAACTCCCACCCCCTGCTCTAGTCCTCTTAGAAGCGCGCACGTCTGCCCCGGAACTCGTGGGTCTGCCGCTGCCGTTCCTGTCGGAGTTATCCGGCGGCGCACCCTGACATGGCTGCGCCGATACTGAGGTGTGTTCGTGAGCAGCTGAAGCGTGTTACCTTTGTGCCAGTCCCGCGGAGACATCGACATAAGAAGAAATGGGTAGGGAAACTTCAGCCTTTGCATATCTCACCGCCTCTATTGCGTTCGCTTCGTCCACCCCACAAGAATGCCCAGACTTCTTTCCCCGCCCCTCGGGGAGCGTCGCCCTCCCCTGTCTGTTACGTCATCGCCTCTGCCTGCCCTTTTTTCCATCACAAGTCTTCAGGTCTGGTTTCTGTTACGTAGGCGGCCTTCTAGCTCCGCCCCTCTAAGTTACTTCACCTCCTGCGCCCTCATTCTTTCCGTTATGTCACTGCCTCTAGTGTTCTTTCCTCGTGCTTACCTTTCCCTTGGCCCCCACTCCTCTCCCCTCCCCTCCCCTCCCCTCCCTTCTCTCTCCCTCCGCTTTTTCCCTACCCTTACTCCCATGACCTCTTCTCCTTCTTTTCTTCTTGAACTTTCAGCCCCAGCATCCTCTCCCCTGGAAAAATGTCATAGCGACTTGCCCTTACCTCCCGGGGGGAAAGAATTCAGTCCTGTCCTCACCCTCAAGCTGCCTCTGTCGAACACGAAAGGTTTCAGCGACCACTCTGCCCATGCTGCCGGCCCTTCCCCAAACGCAGGCAAAAGGTGCAACGACCCCCCTCATCCCAAAAGGTGCAATGGCTCCTCTCACCCCAAAAACCCTTTCTCTTGCCACACCGGCGCGTCCCCCCTCCCACCTCGACGGATCCCTTTACCCCCTCCACCTTCCTCTCCACCCCCACGGGGGAGATGTTCTCTTGAACCCTTCTCCCCACTCCTTGGAAGGCTCTACTGCCACGACACCAGCCTCTCTGGTTCATCGCCTCCGAGCCCTTGCTTTGACCCGTGCAGCCATCTGGGGTCACCCACTCTCCCTCAGCGGAGCCCTTATTGCAGCTGGGTCAGTTCCCCAAGACCACAGCGTCCTTGTCCTCAAAACCCTTGCTTTGACCAGCATACTTACCTTTGTTACTGTAGTCCGGTGATCTCCCCTCCCCTCCCCCATCGGCTCCCAGGAACCAGCCCAGTGACCTCCCCTCAGCTCATTCATGTACCCCTAGAAACTGTCCCCGTGGTTTCACCTCCCCTCACTCAGGAAGCCAAGGGAACTTGCGCTGTGATTTCACCTCCTCTTACTCATAGGCTCCCAGTAACTGGCGTTACCGTTTCACCTCCTCTTGCTTGCCACCCAGTGGAAACTAGACCTATAATCTCTACAACAGTTTCTCATAGGGTTTTGGAAACTGGGTCCATGGTCTCCCCGCTATTCCCTCATTGGTCCTCAGGGAGAAGTTACAATGATCCTCCTCTTTCTGCAGCTTCAACACCTACTGGCAGCCTTTACCATGGCCCCCTTAAGCCTCCAGACTCTTGTGAACCCAAACCACAGCTTGACCTGCCCCTTGGGAAAAACTGTTATGGTGCCTCACTTTCTTCTCAGGCAGGCATGCCTGGCTTTCCCAGCTCACCTCAGGAGGGCTCTTTTCATTACTCCCATCTTTCCTCAGAGGCCCACTTATCTGCCCCTGGGAACCCTTACTGTGCCATCCTCATACCCCCTGAGAGTACTGGTTCTCCTACCTCATCCCAGTCCCAGGCTCCCAGGAAGCCTTGCTTTGAGTCCTTTCTCTCCTGGGAGTCTGATGGGAGCTCTTATGTATTCCTAACCCCAGGTACCAGGATTTCTGTTCCTCCTTGTCCTCCAGAACCATCTCTTCCTCACTATCCTTATTCTGCTTTCTACTTCCCTTCATCCCTGGGCAACCAGTTTATAGCTCCACCCCAGTCACCCTCCCGCAGAAGCTATAATGAACCCCCTCTCCCTAATCCAGTTCCCCTCCAAGCAAAGTCCCCCAAATTCTCAGAGTCAAGACAGCCACGCACTCCCCATAGATGTCTTTCCCTAGACAACACTCCCCAGCACACCCCTCTTGGCCAGACCAAGCCCCCTAAGGCCAGTACCTCTCCTCTCACTCCCTCCCGCCCCTCTGGCCTTTCTGGTTCTTCTTGTACAGAGCCATGCATCACAACTCCTTCAAATTCCGGTCCCAAAGAACATCCTCCAGGGAATGCTGTACTACACCCTGTGGTCCCTGGACTCATCAAAACTGTTGCCCCTTCTTCCCTTCCCGACTGCTTGCCTTGTGAGCCTGTCTTACCCAGTAATTTTGCTAAGAGCAGTCTCCATAGACCCTCCATGATGTCCCCCTGCAATACCCATATGTACTCTATGGTTCCCCCCCCATCCCATCCGTACCCACTCTCTGGCTCCCTCAGTCACTCTACAGGCCCCCCTCAGTGTCTTAACCACCCCCTGGTGCCCCCCTGTGGCACCTATAATGCTCCCAGAGGCCCACCCCTACTCCATCGCAAGCCTGTGGTGCCTCCTTGTTCTACCCACATCTATTCTTTCATCCCTCTGAGAACACCCTTTGACCCCCAATGTTTACCAATTGTCCCCCGAACTTGGCCCTGCCCTGATTCCATCCCCTGTGGCCTTCATACCTGCTCTGTGGCTGCTCAACGTCCCCTGAAAGAACCCTGTCAGGTCTCCTACAGCTGCCCTATGCCTTCATCCAAGAACTCCACCTGTAGCACTAAGACCAGTTGTAGTTCAACAGTTACCAGTGTTACCAGTGCATGCCAGAGTAGTGAGAGCCTGAGCAAGAATCAGAGTATCCGCCTTAGCAGAAGTCGGAGCCACAGCAAGAGTCCTCATAAAAGTAGGAGCCGGAGCAGTAGTCCTCACCGAGGCAAAATTCACATCCAGGGTGTGAGCCTTAAGGGCCAAAATTGCAGTACTCACCATGACAGAAGTCGGAAGAAGAGCAAGAGTCCCAATAGTGGTAAAAATCAGTGCCGGAGCAAGAGTCCCTACCATAGCAAAAGTCATGGTCAGAGCAAGAGTCCCTGCAGTAACAAGAAATGTGGGCCAGAGCAAAAATTCTGACCAGAACAAAAACCCAGGCCAGAGCAGTCACAGGCAGTAACAAGACTGTTGGCAATAGCAAGCATCCTAACTGCAGCAATCAGGACCAGCTTGTGGACTTCTCATCTGAAGTTTTCCTTTATGCTTTTCAGATCTGACTCATGTCCCTTGCTGCTACCCCCATAGCAGCCATCCTAGACATCCCTGTTTTCATTTATATCTTAAGGTTCTGTGAGCTCTCCTTATCTCACCTTTCTGGAGTCTATGAATTCTCCCAAACAACCTTCAGTAGTATAATTCTGAGCATTATGATGCCAGTCACTGTATGAACTTAGGTAAGTTACCCTCATCTCTCTAGCAAATGTGGAAATTTTGTTCTTGTTTTTCGTATCCTACTGAGCACTACTATTGTAGAGCCACATAAGCTTGTAGAATGAACAGTTTTTTGGAAGTAGAAAGAAGGGTTGTTCAGAGGAAAAGTGCCTTTTGTTTTTAAATCTAAAGCTCTCTCACGGCCTCTGTAGTTTCTTCTAGACTCTCAAGGGTTGTCCCTTGTCCCTGTAATCCTAGTTACTCAGGAGTCAGAGATCAGGAGGATTGTGGTTTGAAGCCAGCCTAGACAAATCCTGAGATTCTATTTTGAAAAAAACCCCACAAAAAAGGGCTGGTGGAGTGGCTCAAGATATAGGCCCTGAGTTCAAGTCCCAGTACCGCAAAAAAAAAAAAAAAAGCTTCTCCCTTGAGCTCCCATATTCTCAAATTTCTCTGACTCTTAAGTCCTCCACTCTGCAGTGCTGGGGATTAAACCCAGGGCACTGCATGTTCTAGTCAAGCACTTTTTTTTTTTTTTCCAGTACTGGGCTTTGAACTCAGTGCTCAGTGCTTTATGCTTGCTAGGCAGGCACTTGGGGCTGGCTTTGAACCTCAATACTCCTGATCTCTGCCTCCTGAGTAGCTAGGATTATAGGTGTGAGCCACCGGCACTTACTTTTTTTTTTTTTTGTGGTACTGGGGTTTGATCTCAGGGCTTCACGCTTGCTAAACAGGCACCCTACCACTTGAGACACTCTGTCAGTGTTAAGGAAGCACTCTTTGTTAAGATACATTCCAGTCCAACCCTCTCCCCCTGACTTTTTTTTTTTTTTTGAGACAGGATCTTGCTATGTAACCCAGGCCTTTTCAGACTTGCTATATAGCCCAATCTGGTCTTGAACTTGTGATCCTTCTGCCTCTGCCTCTGCCTCTCCCAAATGCTGGGATTACAGGTATTTATTTATTTGTTTATTTTTATGTGGTGGGACTGGGGTTTGAACTAGGATTGTAGGTGTGAGCCATTAGCACCCAGTTTATAGGTGTTTACTACCACACCTAGCTATGCAGTTCCCCCTACCTTTTTTTTTTTTTTTTTTTAATGAAACCCACATGGTTTCTGTGAGAAGCACAGCTTCTTTTCACAATCTTTAGATGGAAAGGCCAGATCTTCACTATTTTTTTTTTTTTTGGTGAGAGTGGGGTTTGAACTCAGGGCTTTGTGCTTGCAAAACAGGTGCTCTACTGCTTGAGCCATGCCTCCAGTACATTTTGGTCTAGTTATTTTGGAGATGAGTGTCTCAATAACTGTTTGCCTTGGCTGACTTTGAATCATGACCCTCTCAATCTCAGCCTCCCAAGTAACTAGGATTACAAGTAATGACCACTGAGACCCTGACTTTCAGCCATGCCTCCAGTACATTTTGGTCTAGTTATTTTGGAGATGAGTGTCTCAATAACTGTTTGCCTTGGCTGACTTTGAATCATGACCCTCTCAATCTCAGCCTCCCAAGTAACTAGGATTACAGTAATGAGCCACTGAGACCCTGACTTTTCACTATTTTTACCTGCCACACTTCTCTGGCAGACAGAAACTGAGATCCACATTAGGTGGATCTCAGTTTGTCTCTGGGTTCTGAGGTTTAGTAGGGTCAAACAGTAGAAGATCCAAGACTAGAAAGAACAATAAGCCTCCCTTTTCTCTTTTAGGCTGCCACAGAGCCCAAATTCCCTGCCAATCGACTGGCTCTACAGAAGTTTGACATGACTTACAGTGTGCAGTTTGGGGATCTTTGGCCATCAATCCGCATCAGTCTCCTTTCAGAGCCAAAGTATGGTGCTCTGGTCAATAATTTTGCTGCTTGGGATAATGTGAGTGCAAAGCTGGAGCAGCTGAGTGCCAGGGACTTTGTGAATGACGCCATGTCTCACTGGGAACTGGAACCTGAGAGTGGCCACTCTTCAGCTCCATCCTCAGCCTGCAGTCCTAACCTCCAATGCTTCACTTTTGCCAGAGGGAATGTCAGTCGCTTCCCTCCTGCCAGGTAGGATCTGGACCCATGGCTGGGGCCATCTTGAGTGCCTGCCCAAAATGGACACAAAAGATCCAGTTAATGTCCTTTGTAATAAGGATTGTAATATTGCTAGTGTTTCTGGCTATGCACTTATGTAAGTGCTATGCATATGTTATCTCCTTTTCTTTCAACAGCCCAATAAAGTATGTAAGATTGCTCCCCTTTTACATTTGAGGAGAAACTGAGGTGCAAAGAAGTTATTTACTTGCTTTAGGTCTTTCAGATAGTTAGTGGTACACTTAGTATTTAGATGTAGTTGGTCTAACCCCAGAACCTGCACTCTGAACTTGTTCTTCTCTACTGCTTTCTGCAGAAAACTAGCAGCTCTTACTGAGCACTGACTGTACCCTCTCTAGTTAAAATACATGTTATTTACAGCTGTTTTTTTAATTTTCCCATTTTGCTCTCATAGCTATCTATCGAAGCAACCTCATAGTACTGAAGAGAAAGATGACTTTCCTAGGAAATGGAGCTTGTCTAGGGGTACAAGTTAGCAGATCTGAAAAAATAAAGAACTTCCAGGTTCTTGATCCAATGCTCATATATTTGAAGTTGAGTGAGAAAAAACTCCAGAATGAAGTGTAATTGTGCTCTAGAAATTGAGACAAGGAAGCCAGGCATGGTGGTACAGTCTATAATCCCAGCACTTAGAGACTGAGGTTTCAAATTGAGAGTTTGAGGTCAGCCTAAACTGTATGGAGTGAGTTTGAGGCCAGCTACAAAGCAAGACCTTGTCTCAAAAAAAAAAAAAAAAAAAAAAGAGAAAAGAAGATTTAATGTTAGTAGAACTAACATTGAGGCAGTGATGTGGGTGGAATTGATCTTTGAAAGATTGATAGGATTTATTCAGCAGTTACTTATGGTCTTCCAAATGCCAGGTGTTTAAGTGCTGGGTTACTAGTACACAAATCCTCATGGAGCTTCTACTCTAGTGAGGAAGACAGCTGTTAAATCTATTTACACCTTTGGGTATGATTGTGTACACCTGTAATCCCAGCTACCTGGGAGGCATAGGTAGGAGGATCATGGTCTGAGGCCAGCCTGAGGTCTGAGACAAGACCCTGTTTGAAAAATAACTAAAGCAAAAAGGTCTTGAGGGGGTGCTGGCTCAAGTGTAGAGTGCCTGCCTAGAAAGCACAAGACCCTTAATTTAAACCCCAGTACCACCAAAATAAAGAAATAAAAAATAAAAAACTATTTGCAGTTGTATTAAGGGCTACAAAGGAAAAGTACAAGATGCCACGAGGTCTTACAATCAGAAGTTCTAATTTGGTCTTTTCTGATGAAATAATACTTAAGCTAACACCTGAACACTGAGTAGGAATTAAAGCTGGTGGCATGGGACTGGGGATCAGGGTGAGGAGACTAAATATGAGGCTGCACATGCAGGCAGGAGCCAAATTATGAAGGTCTAATAGGCCATGTGAAATTTTGAACTTTTTCTGTAAGAGTAAGAGGAAGCCCTGAAAAGGGCCTTACACTTGGTAAACAGGTACTCTACCATTTGAGCCACATCCCCAGCTCTTTTTGCTTTAGTTTTAAGATAGGATATCATGTTTATGATTGGGCCAGCTTAGACAATGATTCTCCTATTTATGCTTCCCTGAAGCTGGGACGACAGGCACATACCACTACGCCCAGCATTTTATTTGAGATGAGGTCTCATGAACTTTTTGCCTGGGTTGGCCTTGAACCACAATCTTCCCAGTCTCTACCTCCTGAGTAGCTAGGATTAAAGATGTGTGCCTAGCCAGATTTGAAATTTTAAAATACTACTTTGGCTGTTTTGTGCAGAACAGGTTGGAGAAGGTTAAGACTGGAAATGGAAATAGAAATTGTAGGAGATTCTGCATTTGTCCTGTCTTGAGAGAAGGCGTTTAAATGCCTGGCATTTGGTAGATCATAAATATCCCTATTTCAGCTGTTACAGCTTAGCTCTCACATGTTTCCACATGGCAAAATTATTGACCAGAGCACCATACTTCTGCTCTGAGAGAGGAATGATGCAGATCAATGGCCAAAGTCCTTGCTTGAGAGGAGTGACAGTCTGCAAAAGTATAGGGAGGGATAAAACATGGGAACCTTGAATGCCAGGAGCTTGCCATTGGAGGAAAAGTATTTTTTTCTGGTGGTCAGGGTTGCTTGCAGGTAGCTAGGATAGTCAGGGCTAAATAGCTTTGATCCATGGTAGTAATGCATAATAGTTTTAAGCATGTGCTTGTGAGTCAGGCAAATCTGCATTTGAATCCTGCCTTCGACTACTTATTAGATGTATGGCATTGGATAACTAAGCCTCAATTCACTTTTCTGGAAACTAATAGTAGTAATAGCTAACACTATAGCTCATTGTGTTCCAGCTACTATTCTGAGCACTTGATTTACATTACGTACTTTAATTCACCTAATATCCTTATCTAGCTGGATATGCATGCCTATAATCTAGCACTCAGGAGGCCAAGGTCTTGAGTTTAAGGCTATCCTGGGCTATGTAGTAACATCCTGCCTCAAAAAAAAACCCAACAAAACAAAACTAAACAAAAAACTACCTGACAGGTACTTCTTGTTTTTTTTTTGTAGTGCTGAGATTGGAACATGCACATGCTAGATAAGCATTGTACCACTGAGAATAAGAGTACTCTTTGGTAGGTACTCTTTTTTGCGGATGGAAAAAACTAGGCACAGAGAAGTTGAGTAATTTGCTGGAAGTCACACAACTAATGAGCAACTGGACTAGGTTTGAGATCCAGGCAGTCTGGCTCTGGAATCCAGGTTTACGTATCTCACAGTGTTATGACAAGGATTAAAAGAAATTATACCTATTAAAAATCTGGCATAGAGCCTGTAATAATAATAGGACTCATCAGCAATACCTCTCACTATTTTTTTTTTTATTTGTAGGACTGGGGCTTGCAAAGCAGATGCTCTACTACTTGAGCCACACCTCTCTAGTCCATTTTTGCTCTAGTTATTTTTTGGAGATGGAGTCTTACAAACAATTTACCTGGGCTGGCCTTGAACTGTGATATTCCTGATCTCAGCCTCCCAAGTAGTTAGGATTACAGGAGATGGGAGCCACTGGCACCTGACCTTTTTTTGGGGGACAGTGGTACTGAGGATTGAACTCAGGACGTCATGCTTGCTAAGCAGATACACACTACTTAAACCATATCCCAGTTCTTTTTGTTTTTAGTTTGTTTTTTCAGATGGGGTCTTGTGCTGTTGCCTGGGCTAACCTCCAACTGTGATCCTCCACCTCCTGTGCAATTGGGGTTGTAGGGTATACCACTAAGCCTGGCTTAATAGTATCTTTCACTATTGATGATATTCTCATCAAAGTTATGCTCAGGAAGATCATGTTAGTCACTGTGCAGGTAGGGATAGATTGGACCAGGATTGGAGATAATTATAAGGCCTTGTTAGGTTGAACCATGGAGTAGGAACCATGTTGTCTGAAATGCTTTGCACCTAGTCCCGGGTTCTTAGTCAGGAAGGACACCCTGAGAGAAGGGAGGAAAGTGGATTTCTTTCACCAAAACCCCTACATAGGTTTTCCCCTCATCATGGTGGTCTCCTCTCTTCCAGACTTGGCAACTTGGGTGTCATGGACTACTACTTGCTGGATGCTGCCTCCTTGCTACCTGTCTTGGCTCTTGGTCTGCAGCCTGGTGACATTGTGCTTGACCTGTGTGCAGCTCCTGGGGGAAAGACATTAGCATTACTTCAGACTGGCTGTTGCCGTAAGTCAGGGAGCTACTATCTTGGGCAGGGATGGCTCCCCCACCTCCCCTAGTCAGGGCATATTGAATAGGATGAACTTTCTGATCCCAAGGTCAGAGGGGCAATAGTATTTGCTTGCTAAACTCAACAAAATAATTTTTGTTGTTGTTGTTGTTTAGTTGTTTGCAATTATTTCCTCCTTTTCACTGTCATTTGGTCAAGAGCAAGGCCTCTGGAGGCAGATTAAAGTAGGGCTCTGCAAAGTAAATCACAACACTTTTCACCCTCTGTATCTGTTTATTTTGTCTCTAAAATTATGTTCATTTCTTTGGCCTGCCAACTAAACAGTAAGATCTGGCTGCTGCCACTACTTATAGCTTTGTATATCACTCTTTCCCAAATATTATGCCACTCAGCCATACATTGCTACTGTGTTTCTGTTTCTGGAGTAAGTCTTTTTGGTACTGGTGTTTGAACTCAGGGCCTCATGCTTGCTAGGCAGTCACTCCACCACTTGAGCCATTCTGCCAGCCTTTTCTTTGTGTGTGTGTTGAGTGTTTTTGAGATAGGATCTCGAGAACTGTTTCCCCAGGCTGGCTTTGAACCTTGATTCTCCTGATCTCTGCCTCCTGAATAGTTAGGATTACAGGTGTAAGCCACCAGCACCCTGATCCCTTTTTTCTTTTTGCAACCTGTTTAAAACTGACATCATCCTCATGGTCCAAAATTGTCATCATGGTCCAAGATGGCTGCCGGAACTCAAGCTAGTACATTTAAATTTGAGGCAGGAGGAAAGAATTAGGCAAGACAGGTTGTTCTCATTTCCTAATTGTGTCAACTTTTAAAAAACATCTTCCCAGAGGTCTCACATGATAATTTTGATTATAATTCATTAACTAAATTTAGTCATTTAGTCATACTTAGTTATAAAAAGAAGGCTAGGAAATGTACTCTTTTGGGGAACATTACTTTCTCCCAGTAAAATTGGGATTCTGTTACTAAGGAGTTCTGAGAAGAATAAATTTTGAATGAATAATCTATAGTTTCTACCAAAGATGAAGAGAGTCATATGTCTCAAGAATAGTGGGTAGCCAGGTGTGGTGGCATGAACTTATAGTTCTAACTCTTCAGAAGGCTGTGGCATAATCACTTGCGTCCAGGGCAGCCTGGGCAACATAGCAAGACCCTGTCTCAAAAAACAAAAAGCAGGACATGGTGGTGTGTGCCTGTAATTGTAGCACTTGGGAGGCTGAGGCAGGAGTATCCTGAGTTTGAGGCTAGCCTGAGCTACATAGTGAGACCCTGTCTCAAAAAAAAAAAAAAGAGAGAAAAAGAAAAGAAAAAGTTAGGGGACAGCATATATATGTATGAAATAAATACTCTTTCTTGATCTGTTTTACTGGTTTACTTATTTAACCTTTCTGGCCCAAGTAGATATTCACCCTTGCCAATCTCTGTTCCAGTGCCATGTGCATATTAAATCAACACTGATCCTGGGGACTGCATTAATTGGAGTGAGAATTGGTCTCCCTCTCCATCAGTACCATTGCCAATAGGGTATTTTGCTGGGTCATGGCACTGACGTATATTTATTTCCACAGGCAATCTCGCTGCCAATGATCTTTCCACTTCCCGGACAGGCGGACTACAGAAGGTCCTTCACAGCTATGTGCCTCAAGATATCAGGGAAGGAAATCGAGTTCGAGTCACCTCATGGGATGGCAGGAAGTGGGGAGAACTGGAGGGGGATACCTATGACCGGGTGAGTGATTCCTGACTTAGGATATCCATTGAGCTAAATTTGGCTTCCCATCTTGGCTTTAAGCTCTAAGGGGGTAGTATCCAGTCTCTGTGTTTGAACATATGGGGCCATTTCTGGACCTGGGCAGTTCTCCATGGGTGATTTGGAGAAAACAAGCTAGAAACACAATTCTCAGTTCAGCTTAGATGACTTGCTAATATACTATCTTCATTAGAGAGACATTTGGCAGCAAAAAGAATTTGAACGTGAATATGGATAAATTATTAGGTTTTTTTTATTTCTCAAGTCAGTTGGTTGCTCAGAAACCCTCATAGAGATTAAATATGAATGAAAACATTTTATTTCTGAATGTTAATACAGCACACACAGTGCAAAATTCAGGAGGTACAAAAGGGTACCTAGTGAAAAGTAAGTTTCTGTCTTACTCTTGTACACAGACATCTACTTCCTTTCCCTACAGATAACCATTGTTTCTATTTTTTCATATCCGTTATATTATTTGTATATATAGATATAAATGTGTGTGGGTTTTAAAAATGGGAGTGGTAGTATATTTTATTCATTAATCTTTATATCTTTCATTTAATATTATATAGGCTCCTTCTCCCTTTTGGCCTCAAATCATGATCCTCCTATCTCCACCTCCCAAGTAGCTGGGATTACAGGTGTGAATCACTGTACCCAGCTTTTTTTTTTCCTTGTGACTGAAATAGAAACTTTTTTCCAGTGGGACTGGGATTTGAACTCAGGGCTTTGCACTTGCAAAGCAGGCACTCCATCACTTGAGCCACACTTCCAGTCCATTTTGTTCTGGGTATTTTGGAGATGGTCTCATGAACTGTTTGCCTGTGCTGGCCTTGAACCTCCATCCTTCCAATCTCAGCCTCCCGAGTAGCTAGGATTACAAGTATGAGCCACTGGCCCTGGCAGTAGAAACTTTTCATTATGGGATATAAATTGCACCATTAATGTTACAAAAACATTTTTATGTAGTGACACTTTTTATTATGGGATCTATGTATTTCTGTACAGACATTATACAAAGTGACATGTTGGGTTTTCTTGGTGCCTTAAGCCAGATACCAATGAGGACTGACATATACATCATTAATAAGCATGTTTATTTTATCTCAATGTTGGGGGTCTTTGTTTATTCCAGTTGCACTTCCTTTGTGAGATAGCTATTGTGTTTTACTTTTGTACCATGTTGTGGATGCCTGAAAACTCATATTTGCCAAGGCAATGCCCATGTGGTAGAATAGTATAGTTTGATGCAATAAAGTCATCATTTCTTCACGCTGGCTTGACAGTTTGAGTTTTTGCTGTTTTTTTACCTTGTGTTTTTAATAGAATTCTTCCATGTTACATAATCACAGACAACCCAAGCTGTGTGTTGAACTATCATCATTTATGGAGATACATTGTAAAACTGTTTGGAGTATTTTGTGCTTATAATGCATTATCATCTTCATCTGGGTTCTTCCCAATTTTTACTTCAAATGTGAAGTTGATTTCTGGTGCACTATCTTCTTGTATTAAAGGGTAAAAAACTTCACCTGTAGTATTGTAGTGTTCAACTGTAACTTGTTTTTGGATAATTTCTTCCACAGAAAATTTAAGGTGATACTTGTGTCCTCTTCCTGGAATATTCTCCTAGTTGTCTTCTCTGCACTAGACACACCTTGTGGAGGGTCCCTGCTGGTAGTTGATGCAGTGTAATGGGTTGAGGCTCTGTGGGTGGGTGGGGTGTCCATCTTCAGAGAGCAGGTTGGTGAGTGTGAGCTTCTGTGGCTTAAGAGGATCAGGATAAGTACCAGAATACATTGGTACCATTGTGCAGCCATGCTGCCTGCTGCCTGGGTGGCAAAGTTGGCACCTTCTTTTTTTGTCTTGCTATGTATTCCAGACTGGCCTTGAACTCACAGTCCTCCTGTCTTGGCCTCCCAAGTAGCTGTGATTACAGGCTATGCTACCATGCCCAGCTAAATGTGTCTTTTATGTATGGTATAGATTTGGGTTTCACTTTGTAAGCCAACGTGTAAATTTTATTCCTTTAGTTACTGACTTAAGCAATTGATGTCACTGTTAATATTTGATCTCACTTCTGTCAAATTATTCTCTTGCATTTATTCATTTTTTGTTGGTACTGTGGTTTGATCTCTAGGGCCTGAAGCTTGCTAGGCAGTCTCTGTACTACTTGAGCCACACCTCCAACCCTATTGTGTGTATTTACTACATTTTTTTCACTGTTTGCTCTCTATTCTTGTTCTTTCTTTCTTTCTTTTTTTTTGAGTGGTACTGGCATTTGAACTCAGGGCCTTGCACTTGCTAGGCAGGTGAGCTACCACTTAAGCCACACCCTCATCCCTTTTTTGCTTTAGTTATTTTTTGAATAGTGTCTTAAGTTTATAACTGGGCCAGCCTGGACTGTCATCCTCCTATTTGTACTTTCCACTTAGCTGGGATAGCAGACTTGTGCCATAACATTCAGCTTTTCATTGGTTGAGATGAGGTTTTGCAAACTTTTTTGCCTGTTTGGCCTCAAACCAAGCTCCTCCTGATCTCTGTCTTCTGAGTAGCTAGGATTACAGGAATGAACCACAGAGCTCAACCTCCTTTCTTTTAATTTCTTTTGTTATTTAGGAAGGACATATTTATTGATTTAATTTATTTTGCAGGGTGGGATTAAACCCTGGGCACCTAGTGCATACTATGCAAGCACTCTACCACTGAGTTACATCCCCAGCTTGGAAAGTTTATATTTTAATTATATATTGGATAATTACAGTATCAAAACTGGGGGAGTTAGCTGCTACAATGACTGAGGAAAGGAGGCAATACAAGGCTCTCCAAGGCTCTGCCCGAGATCTCCTTGGCCATGGTGCTTTAACTGCAGTTCTGGAAATTGCAGTTGGTTTGCAGGAACCTGGAGTGTGGGTTTGTGGCTCTGTCTACCAGTGCCATGCCAGCGGCAAAGCCCAAAGTGGAGCCTTCAGAAAATGAAGCTGTTTCTCACAAGTTCCCTGGCTGGAACCCCTGGAATCTGGAGCTTTTAGGTGAAGCCTGGAAAGAATGGGGCTGGGGGACTATGTGGCTGTTACGTGAGTTCTGGCACAGATTTTGAGTTACGACTCAGCATCATATAGAAGCACTCATGGAGCATCAGAATGGCCAGGTTGTGGTTCCAGCATCTACTCGTGAATGGGCTATTAAAAAGCACCTGTACAGTACCAAAAATGTGATAGCTTGTGAGAGTGTAGGACGAGTGTTAGCACAGCGCTGCTTAGAGGTAGGCATCAACTTCATGGTCTACCAACAACCCTTTGGGAGGCCCCTCAGATCTGATGAAATGTCTACAAGTGCCATGACAGAAGGTGGCATGGTGCTATGGGAGCCTCAGAGAATCTATGAATGAAATGGAAGTTCTGGGATCGCAGAGGTCCTTAACCCGAAAGGGCTCAGGGCAGGAATGAACAAGACAAGGCAAGACACATGTCAAGAGAGGCCAGCAGGCTGATGACCAACTGGCAAATTTTATTTTTCTCAGCCAGCTTTATACAAAAGAGGAAGAGACTTAAACATCAAAACACTCTGACCTAGTTACAACCTTTCTGTTTTTGCCACCCTGCATTCTTACTGCCAGTGTCCTTGACTAAGTATAAACTTCTTCTTAGTCAAGGGAAACCATTTAGCATTCCTTCCCACTGTGATCGAGACATGGTGCACTGCAGATTCCGTCCTTATCAGAATGCTGCTAAGCCACAGCAGCCTTGTTGGACTGTGGCTTTTGGTTCCCAACATGGAAGTATTAAAACTTCTCAGCTACTACAGCCATCACAAGAAAGCATCTGGAAAAACAGCCAGCTTGGACATTTTATAGCAATAATAACAACAGTACAGGATACTTGTAGTTAAGGTCATCCTCTTCCCCCTTACGTGTGTGTGTGTGTGTGTGTGTGTGTGTGTGTGTGTGTGTGTGTCTTTGTTATCTTTGTTTTAATCAAGAATTAAATTCTTTCCCTTTATTGGACACAAAGTTAAGGAAAGCAGTCACCAGTTACAATTTAACTTTTAAAATGTTGTTTATAAGTTATATAATAAAGGCATATTATAAACAAAAAAACCCAACAAAACAAAACTGGGGGATGAGAGTACAAGTATACTTCTGTAATTTCAATACTCTGGAGGCTGAGGCAGGAGGATCACAAATTCAAGGCCACCTGGGCTACACAGCTACTTTAAGGGCAGCCAGAGCTAGGAAGATCCTGTCTCTGAAAACCAAGGCCTGGAGATTTAACTCAGTGATAGAGTGCTTGCCTAACATGTGCAAGGTCCTGGGTTCTCTTCATAGTACCTCGAAAAACCAACAGCAACAACAAACTGTTCAAGGTTTGATTCTATTGTTTTTTTTTCTGACTTTGTCTAGGAGGCTTGTTTCCTGTACGTTTTTTGTGCTTATTTTTGTTACCTGTCAAATTTCCTTTTTCTTTTTTCTTTTTTTTTTTTTGTTTGTTTTTTTGGAGACAAGGTCCAATATGTAGCTCAAATTAGTCTCAAACTTGCTAAGTAGCTGAGGCTGGTCTCAAATTCACAGTCCTGCCTTAGCCTTCCAAATGTTGGGATTATAGGTGTGTATTACCATACCACATTTTACTCCTTCCTTTCCTTTTTTTTCATGTCAGAGATCAAATTCAGGGCCTGAACTATATTCTACACCCCCTATTTTTTTACTCTCCTCTGTATTTCCATCCTTTTTCTCTTCATGCTTCATTCTGGATTTTTTGGGGATGGATACTGGGATTTGAACTCATAGCTTCATGCTTGCAAAGCAGGTACTCTACTGCTTGATCCACACCCCCATTCCATTTTTTGCTCTGGTTATTTGGAGATGGGGGGTCTCTTGAACTATTTACCCAGGCTGGCCTCAAATTGTGATCCTCCTGATCTCAGTCTCCAAAGTAGCTAAGATACAGGTATGAGCCACCAATGCCCGGCCCCTC